ACACACACACACACACCCCAAAAACCTATCGGTGAAGTCTTAATATGTGGAATAGTGATACACACACACACACACCCCAAAAACCTATTGGTGAAGTCTTAATATGTGGAATAGTGATACACACACACACTAAAAACCTATCGGTGAAGTCTTAATATGTGGAATAGTGGTGTCTGAATCCTGGCTATTCAAATCGCAGAGGAGCTGACTTCAGAGGCTCTGCCCACGCTAAGCAGTGTGCTTTATCCTCATAGAGTATGGTGGTTTGTTTTTTTAAATTTTTTATTTCTTTGGTCAGTCGTGGGGCTTGGACTCCTTTTTTTTTTTCCCCCTCTCCCAGTCCTGGGGCTTGAACTCTGGGCTTGGGCACTGGCCTTAAGCTCCTTCTGCTCAAGGCTAGCACTCTACCCTAGAGCCACAGTGCCGCTTCTTTTTCTGTGATTAATTGGCAATAAGGGCCTCACAGACTTTCCTGCCCCAGCTGGCTTCAAACAGAACCAACATGATCTTTAGATCTCAGCCTCCTGAATAGCTAGGATGACAGGTGTAAGCAACAATGTCGGCTGGAAGGCTATGTTTTATTTTCACGTGAGTGAGAAAATCAGCTCAGGGTGATTAAGCAATTCAGTCTTGCTCCTAAATCTCTACAGAGGCAGATTTGCAAGCAAAGTTGCCTGGATCAAGCCTGAGACCTTTTTTTACAATATCAAGGACATAAAATGCAACCGTGGAGAATAATAGCAGGGAAAAGGATGTGAAGTCAGCAACAGATTAGGAAGTGGGTGCTGACTTTATAAAAAAGTGATACATAGAAACAAAAAGCAGTCTGTGCCTAAGGGATTAGCCTGGTCCTGTGCATATGCATGTTTCCATACATTTTTCACATCTTTTTCTTGCAACTTTGTTTAAAAAGTATGGCTACAGGGGCTGGGAAGGTGGCTCAGTGGTAGAGTGCTTGCCTTGTATGCCTGAGGCCCTGGGTTCCATTCCTCAGCACCACATAAGCAAAAAGAAAAAAGCCAGAAGTGGTGCTGTGGCTCAAGTGGTAGAGTGCTCACCTTGAGCTGAAGAGCTGAGGGACAGCACCCAGGCCCAGAGTCCAGGCCCCACGACCGGATCCCCCCCCCAAAAAAAAAAGAAAAAGAAAAAGTATGGCTACAGCCAGATACTGGTGGCTCATGCCTGTAATCCTAGCTACTCAGAAAGCTGAGATCTGAGGATCAAGGTTCGAAGCCAACTCAGGCAGGAAAGTCTGAGAGACTCCAACTACCAGGAAGATGGACATGGTAGAACACGAGCTTTGAGCACAAAAGCTCAGGGACAGTGTCCAGTCCCTCATTTAAGCCCTAGGACTGGCACCAAAAAAAAGAAAACAGAAGTATGTCAGTTAGTGTGTCATGGCACACACCTGTAACCCCAATTTATTGGGAGGCTGAGGTGGGAAGATTACATTTGGGTCCAGACAGGGCAGTCAGATTTGGCCGCTGAAACTCTTTTTTCTTTTTTTGTTTTTTGTCGGTTGTGGGGCTTGAACTCTGGGCCTGGGCGCTGTCCCTCAGCTCTTCAGTTCAAGGCCAGCGCTCTACCACTTGAGCTACAGCGCCACTTCCGGTTTTCTGGTGGTTTATTGGAGATAGGAATCTCACGGTCTCTCCTGCCCGGGCTGGCTTTGAACCGTGATCCTCAGATCTCAGCCTCCTGAGTAGCTAGGATTACAGGCGTGAGCCACCAGGGCCTGGCTCCGCTGAAACTCTTAATTAAAACAAATAAAAAAAGCTGGAAATGGTGCTGTGGCTCAAGTGGCAGGGTGCTAGCTCTGAACACAGGCTCAGGGACAGCGCCCAGGCCCTGCAGTCAAGCCCTAGGACTAGCAAAAAAAAAAAAGTTGTTTTTTTTCTTACTTAACTATGGAAACTGTAAAACATTTTTTTCTCACAAACCAAGTGTGTTCCTAAAGTCCTAAAGTTTGAACTCAGGGCCTTGTGCTTGTTCAGTGCAGGTGCTCTACTACTGAACCACACCTCCTGACCCTTGTTAGTTTTTTTTCTTTATATTTGTAGGTGGGGATCTTGCTTTATGCGTCCTTGCTCCAATGGGGATGACAGATGGGAGCCACTGTACCTAGCCACTGGCTAGAGATGGAGTCTCTCAAACTCCTGTGTGTCCAGGCTGGATCTTCACCTCCTACACAGCTGGGGTCCCTGGCACCACCACGCCCAGCACACATGAGTTCCTCTGTAACCTTTCCGAGAACTTCATCCACTATTAGTTTTTCAGGAGCTTTAGTGACATTACAATTTACATACCATCAAGCTGTGTAGCTGGGTAAATTCCTCTTGGAGGCTGGAGGAGAGCAGCTGTGTTTGGCCAGGCTGCTTCTGCCCTGGCCCTGTGTCAGATGGAGGACCTGCACTCTGCCGTGGGGCTCTGCCCTCCAGTGCTCAGGTGGCTGGTTCCCTGAGCCCTGAGTCTGGGACATTCAAGGCAGGAAGAAACGCCAAGAAGCTGGATGCTGTGTCCCATGGGCCCCGAGGCCTCTCACAGGCTTCTTTAGTTCTCTCGCATTTAGTCTCCCCAGGTGCGAGGTTTACTTTCACTTAGGAAGAGGAGCAGCACAAAGTATGTATACCCCGGTGATCAGAAGCACAAGTGTTGCCTTATTATTATTTTTCTTCCAGATGAAACACACAACATAAAATGAGCTTCTTGGGACACAGTCTCCCTGTGGCCAACTTACTATTCTGCCTCAATTTGTGGGGATTACAGGTATGCTCTTGCATACTGGTGGTGAACTTTTCCTGCCTAGCCTGTCAGGGTGGTTTGTAGCTTTCTGTCAGGCCACTGACTGATAAAAATAATACAAATACAAATATTGACTCAGAACACACCTAAGAAGATTGGCAAACTTAGTTTTTATGAGGGGGGAGAATGGACTGTTTTTACATTTTGTTTACTTCATGCATGGTGTAAGAATTAGTGGCTAAAATTATACAAAGGACTGGGAATGAAAATATTTACTAATTCAGGATAAAGTTATTTGTTGGGCAGTTACACTAAAATTGAACATTTTGGCTAGTTCTGTATAATATATCACAAACAGCTGAGACATATCAGATGCACAACTGAAAACTGAATCAAGTGTTTAAACTTAGTTTACAGTTTTAATAAGTTAATATGTTCAGTAAGTTCTCAAACTTATTAAATTTTTTAAACAGTAGCAAAACTCACACTTTCCTTCTTTTGAAAGTGCTTTGATGGATTATCAGGATCCATTAAGAAACATCTAAATGGAAAGAAACACAGAAATACATTTTATGTGTCAGTTTTTAAAAACAGAAAAAGGCCAGATAAACTACAGAACATCAGACTTAACTAGTCACAAAATCTACATAAAAATTATTTTGTAGTTTACACACATAGGACAAGAGAGAAATACAGAATTTTTTTTTTTTTTGGTTGGTAATGGGGCTTGAACTCTGGGCCTGGGCACTGTCCCTCAGTTCTTCAGCTCAAGGCAAGTGCTCTACCACTTGAGCCATAGCACCACTTCCAGTTTTCTGGTGGTTTATTGGAGATAAGAGTCTCATGGACTTTCTGCCCGGGCTGGCTTTGAACTGCGATCCTCAGATCTCAGCCTCCTGAGTAGCTAGGATTACAGGTGTGAGTTATTGGTACCCAATTCTGATGTGTATTTTTTTTTTTTTTGTCGGTCATGGGGCTTGAACTCTGGGCATGGGTGCTGTCCCTCAGCTCTTCAGCTCAAGGCGAGCGCTCTACCACTTGAGCTACAGCGCCATTTCCGGTTTTCTAGTGGTTTTATTGGAGATAGGAGTCTCACGGTCTTTCCTGCCCAGGCTGGCTTTGAACCGCGATTTTCAGATCTCAGCCTCCTGAGTAGCTAAGATTACAGGCGTGAGCCACCGGTGCCCGGCCTGATGTGTATTTTTATACATATGTAAAAACACATTGATGGCCCAGGGTGCTAGAAAAGGCAGAATTGAACCTTAGTGGTAATCAGCTGACTTTACCTCCAGGACTTCACAGGGGGCCCCAGCTACAGGCACAGGTTTCCCACGTTGTTTTGAATATTCTGTGATCAAGGCCACTGCTTCGTCTAAGCTAAGGAACCATAAAAGAATAGTGTGGTATGAGAACACTCTTGGGGGTGATCAACGTTTGTCCTCTTGATTATGGGGGACAAGCCTCACAGGTGCATACTGAGGTCTACATGAATGTATACTTTGAGGATGTGGAACTTACTATACGTATCAAATAATACTCAAACAATACGCATCCGTAAATGACAGCAGGTAATGATGGCAGTGGTTCTCTACAAAAATAAGCAGAGAAAAATGCGCGGGAGGAGAGGGCTACCTCTGAGTGACCAGCGCAGCAGAGTGGATGCAGGGATGGACTCAAGAAGCACCACTTTCCTTCCTGAGCATCGGCCCAATTCTTCCTTACCCCCTTTCTTTATCTTTCATGTCTGCCCCCCCCCCCCCATACCAATAAGCTTATTGTTGCTGACTCTGCAGGTGCAGAAAGAATCAACAGCAAGATCAGTAAAAGCTACACCCTACAATAAAGCCTCCATGCTCTGAGCAAACGTTGGAGGAATAAATGTGTAATTTTGGAGTTTGAGGCAGGATTGTCAGACACTTTTTTTTTTGGGGGGGGGGAGGGAGGAGGGCTGGTCCTAGGGCTTGAATTAGACCTGGACAATGTCCCTGAGTGTTTCCTTTCAAGGCTAGTGTTCTGCCTCTTGAGCAACAGCTGAACTTCCAGCTTTCAGTGGTTAATTGGAGATAAGAATTTGACAGACTTTCCTACTTCAGCTGGCTTTGAACTGTAATACTCAGTTTCCTGATTAGCTAGGATTACAGGTGTGAGCCACCAGCACCTTGTTGTTAGACACTTATTTGGAAGATTTAGGCGGCATGTCAAATGATCTGATGCCAGGTTCACGTTCCAAGGGTTTGGATTGCAGGGCAATAAACAGTAACGGGATAGCTCTACAACGGAACTTTCACTTACAACCACACAGCTCTACCTTTGTCTGATAGCTTTTTCCAAAATAAGAACACAATCTACAGAAACTGAACAGTAAGTTGGACCCATACGCACTATATTAACTTACCTTACGTCATTTGCCAAATAGTTGACTAGTTCAGTGATGTTGTTGTTGGTATTTATTGCATGCAACTTCAACACTTGAAAGTATTTTGTCTTTGCCAAAGTCCCAAACTCCTTCTTATTTATGATAGTATTCAGTATCAGACTTCTAATCTGTAGAGTGACAAGTTAAATTAAACACTGTTAAATTCCAAGTCTTATTTGATACTGAAAATTTCTCATAACCAGAAGCTGGATTGTCATTCCATCGGAACTAGGCTTCCTTCCTGTGGGGCAAGAAGAGAGAGGCTCTGCTACCCGCGGTGGAGCACAGAAAAGAAACACAGCTATTGCTAAGCACTCTGGGACTTCCTCTGTCATAACATTATCTGTTAAAACTATATATTCCACTGAGTACGGCAGTAAATAAGACAGCCTTGGGCTGGGAAGGTGGCTCAGTGGTAGAGCGCTTGCCTTGCATGCAAGAGGCCCTGGGTTCAATTCCTCAGCACCACATAAGCAGAAAAAAAAAAAAAAAGCCAGAAGTGGCGCTGTGGCTTAAGTGGTAGAGCATTAGCCTTGAGCTGAAGAGCTGAGGGACAGCGTCCAGGCCCAGAGTTCAGACCCACGGCCGGACCTCCCCCCACCCCCCCCAAAAAAAAGAAGATACCTTATTATTTTTTTATTTCTTTTTAAAAAGTTTTAAATTTTTTATTGTCAAGGTGATGTACAGAGGGTTTGCAGTTAGAAGACACCTTAAAAACAACAAAACTGAGGATTTTTATTTTATTTTTGTCAGTCATGGGGCCTTCTCAGCACCCAGGATTTTTATTTTTAAAAATTTTGTCAGTTGTGGGACTTGAACTCAGGACCTGAGCACTGGCTCTGAGCTTTTGTGCTCAAGGATAATTAATGCTCTACCACAGCTTCACTTCTGGTTTTTATGTGGTTAATTGGAGGTAAGAGTCTCACAGCCTTTCCTGCCTGGGTTGGCTTTGAAGCACATACCTTAGATCCCAGCTTCTTGAGTAGCTAGGATTATAAGTGTGAACCATCAGCGCCCAGAACTACTGAGGTTTTTTATATGCAGCACACACACATATATATCTTAATTTTATTTTGGCAAAAGTGATTATCTTCTAGAATTGACAGTTTCTAGTAAAAGGAGGTGCAATTGCCTCTTACTTGGTGGGAAAATCCTGCTAAATGGCCAGTGTTCATCTGCTCTTCTAATTGCTGCAAAATGATTGGAGGATTGCACGAGTCCAGAAAATTCTAAGGAAAAAAAAATCAAAGCATAATTTAAAAAAGTATTACTACTACTAATTTCTGTCAAGTCTGAAAGCTTAACATTTTATTTTTTAATTTTTTTTTTGGTCCGGTTATGGGGCCTGAACTCTGGGCCTGGGCGCTATCCCTCAGCTCTTCAGCTCAAGCCTAACGCTCTACCACTTGAGCCACAGTGCCACTTCCGGCTTTTTTTTTCCCTGCTTATGTGGTGCTGAGGAATCGAACCCGGGGCCTCATGCATGCAAGGCAAGTACTCTACCACTGAGCCACTTTCCCAGCTCCGAAAGCTTAGCATTTTAAAGTCAGAAATATTTTAAAGAATTTTCTAATATAAGCCAGGCACTGCTGGCTCAGACTTAAAATCCTAGCTACTCAGGAGGCTGAGATCTGAGAATCGAGGTTCAAAGCCAGCCAGGACAGGAAAAGTCCATGTGACACTTATCTCCAATAAACTACTCGAAAACCAAAAGTGGTGCTATGGCTCAAGCAGTAGAGTGCTCGCCTTGAGCTGAGGGACAGCGCCCAGGCCCAGAGTTCAAACCCCATGACCGACTAACAAACCAAAAAAAAAAAAAAAAAAGAATTTTCTAATATGGAATAAAAATCACTTTTACCTTTAAAATTACTGAGCAAGGGGGGGAACAAAGGTATTTTATACTGCTTATTCAAACAGTAAGATATTTCGCTGCTATAAGTGCCAAAAGGAATCTACTTAAATCCTAAAACATTCAAAAGCAACAAGGGATAAGTACATGAATAATCAAAAAGGAAAAAAAAACATGTTAAAGACAAGTACAGATGGCTTTGAAAAGGCAATTAATAGACCATAAAAATACATATGTTCATTTACACAGCTCTCTACCTACAGCTTATCTACCTGTGGAGGAAATAATAGTAAAATATTTCAAACTGCTGTGCTGTGCTCTGTTTGTGCTTGTATTTTTAAGAAAAGTGAGTTATTTTTAAGAGCTTAGTATTTTGGGGGGCTGGGAAGGTGGTTCAGTGGTAGAGCGCTTGCTTTGCACGCATGACGCCCTGGGTTCGATTCCTCAGCACCACATAAGCAAAAAGAAAAAAGCCAGAAGTGGCGCTGTGGCCCAAGTGGTAGAGCACTAGCCTTGAGCTGAAGAGCTGAGGGACAGCGCTCAGGCCCAGTGTTCAGGCCCCATGATCGGACCCCCCCCCAAAAAAAAAATAAAAAGAGCTTAGTATTTTTTTGGTCAGTCATGGGGCTTGAACTCTGGGCCTGGATGCTGTCTCTGAGCTCTTCAGCTCAAGAAAAGCTCTCTACCATTTAAGCTACAGCATTACTTCTAGTTTTCTGGTAGTTTATTGCTCAACTCCCACACATAAAAGCTCCCCCTCTCTCCTATCTCTCATTTGGCAAAGTACTTTGCTAAAGCTTCCTTGGAGCTTTTCCCATCTTGTCCAGTTCCTCACCAGCCTCTCCTTAGACTCAGCTCCGTGCAAGGGAGTGATGTACAGCTCAGGAAAGTTAACGTTCATGGCACCTCCCTCCTGTTTGATCAGGCCCACAGGCTTGGCTGTTCCAGCTAAAGTACTACTGCCGTTATCACCTCACTTCTTCCAAGGAGATCAGTTGTTCTCCCTGATGAAGAATAAAAGGCCAGCCTGCAATCCTAACTATTCAGGAAGCTGAGATCCAAGGATCCCGATTCAAAGCCAGCCTGTATAGAAAAGTCTGTGAGGCTCTTAGCTCCAATAGATTACCAGAAAAGCCAGAAGTAGAGCTGTGGCTCAAGTGATAGAGTGTTAACCTTAAGCAAACGAAGCTCAGGGACAGACCCAGTTCCTGAGTTCAACTCCCTGGACCAGTAAAAGGAAAAAAAAAAAAAAAAGGTCCAACCCCGCTTGAAGACATCTGCCAGCTGGATCTCAATGGATAATGGATCTTTCTGTCTTACCTCCCTCTAAACCCTCCATCTTGCTCATGCTTTATAGGGCTGGTCAGAAGAAAACAGGACCTGATGTGAAGCACAGGCAACCCAAGTCCTTTCATTCCCTTAGCAGTCCCGGAGGAATGGCGTCCCATTACCTTAATTTGCTGGTGTCTTTTCTCTGAGTGGGGCATGAGCATGAGACAAGCCAATGCAAAGGCCGGGAGCTCTAACTGGACATACTGCCGGGCGACTCCCATCATGTCTAGATCGTCTGAGACAGGACATCTTCGAGAGAGGAGGTCACTAGTTAATGATCTATTGTATGTTACGGCTCCACACTTCCAATAATTTCAAACCCCCAAGTGCTGGTATATGATACATGCTTATACGTGTAACTCCAGACCTTGATGGCATCTGTGAGAGAAAGCAGCTCTGCCCACAGGAACAGGGCTACGGGTCCCAGTTTGAGCGTGTCTGAGTGTCTACAGAGGCATAGACTTCTAGTACTAGGGTCTGAATTCAATTCAGAGAATGCTTAGTGAACATCAACTTGCTAGGAAATGGGAAATACATGGGCTGTAGCCATCCTGAAATATGAATTTTATTATAAAAACAAGTGTTGTTTAACTTCCCAACAAAAAGGAATCACAGCCGTCCTCCATTGACCCCAGGCGCTATACTACTCAAGCCCCTTGGTAAATGCCTGAACAAACCCTACACATCCTATGGTTTTCCTCTACACAAACAAACCTACTTATGCTAAAGCCCAGCTCTTTGACAGCATCACACCAGAGAGGCTAAGAGTGGCTAGCGGGTATGCCGGTTGTATACATAGCACGGACAGGCTGTCATTCATGGTGGAAGGCATGAGATTTTATAACTTTACCCACAATGGTGCTCAATTTAAAACGAATCAATTGTTTAAGAAAATTTGCATTAATATTTTCAGACTGTAGTTGACAGCAGGTAATGGAAACCACAAAAGGAAAACCACTGGAGGAAGGATAAGAAGGATGGGGAAGAGGGACGAGCAAGAGGGACAGAGGGCTGGGGGAGGGGGTTAGGGGGTTGGGGAGGGTTATAGGTAGGAAGGCGCCACTGTGCTCAGAGATGCTGGCCAGAAATAATTTTAGAAGCAACAGCTCTCACTTCGTTGGCAAGAGAATGAATGTTTACTTACTCTAGGACAGCGACCAGACTCTCACAACAGTCTACTAACTGATCGGGTCTTAAAGGACAAGAGGCTGCAAAGGAAAAGCAATAATGACACACAGGCACTCAGGTACCAACCAGCACCGCCAGGTCTTCAGGACAGGAAGTACCTGAGAGGAGAGGGATGTGGATGACGTGCTGCCAGGCCTTGCTGAAGTAGGGGACCTGAGGAGACAGCACATCACGGACTTAGGTCTGGGTGCTTTGAACGCTCTTCACTTCGTAGTCATAGAACTACACATAGAAAGCGTGGGCTACACATTCTAGGACCAAAGTCTTAAGTCTGCTCCCTCCCTGTTTGAGATGATGATATTCCCATACTGTCCTAATTTATCAAAATAGGAATAAAGGATCTATTTCTATATAATATAGTGATTATGAGGCACATAACTTGGGAAATTAGCAAAGATGAATAGGACATGGTATTTGGCTTTAATGACCAAGGAGCTGACCACTCAGTCCAGTGTGCCTGGCAGTCACAAGGCCAGCAAGTACAAAGGTTAAGTTTAAAGACTTAAAAAACAAACTACATACCTGCCATAATGAATGCATACCGGAGATGGCTTTTAAAACTTTCTTTAGATAAGAAATCTGTAAAAATAAATAAATTTAAGAAATCCTGAAGACAACCAAAAATGGAATGTTTCAACATGAAATACTGGAAAACACACACACACGTATGTGTGTGTACTCAGGGTCACCCTCTCTTTTTAACTCAAATCTGGCTAGCGTTCTACCACTTGAGGCACAGCTCCATCTCCAGAATTTTGCTAGTTAAGTAGAGGTTAAGAGTCCTGGGGAATCTGCATGCCAATTGAGACCCTCAGGTCCCAGCCTCAGGAGAAGCTAGGATTATAGACATGAATCACCAGCACCAGGCAAAATGCTAGCTTTCCAAGGTCTGAAAAGGAGTATCTGTAGAAATTCAACTTGCATGACATTTGGCAGAGAAGTTCCCTTATGTGTTCTTGAGTATTAAAACAAAACAAAACAAAAAGCCAAGAAACTTTCCAAGTGTTGCCAGTGCACCGCTGGCACCTGAGTTTGCGTAAGTGCCAATGTGAAAGGTATGCTAAGGCTGCGCACAGCTTCCTCAAACCCTTGTCTTACTCACCATGTTGAAGCCGAGAAGCTTCTGCAAGAGTCCATTCCAAAGCTGCAGGTCATAGATTTTGTATTCTAAGCAAAGCTCTGCTACCAACTTCACCACCTGAAGCCAAAAACCCAGTCAAACAAACAAACACACCACAGAAAGACAAAAAGACCAAAAAAAAAAAAAGAAACAAGTTATGTTGCTTTAAGACACTGTAAATCCAACCACCTCTGGGAAAGGTCAGGTAGTTTAATAGGAAATATACTTATAATCTACAAATGTCTATTAATTCATTTCAATAAAGGCTTGAACCCAGGGCTTCGCACTATCTTGACTTTTTCACTTAAGGTTGCTGTTCCTAACACTTGAGCTACATGTACAGTTCTGGCTTTTTGATGGCCACCTGGAGATAGGAGCCTTAAAGTTTTGTCTCTCCAAGCTGGCTTCTAACCTTGATCCTCAGATCTCAGCCCCTTGTGTAGCTAGGATTATAGGTATGAGCTACCTGCACCCGGCCAATTCTTCTATTGGAGGATATTGTGCCTCTTGGCCTCATAGTGGCTCCAATGCCTCAACGCCTAAGTTCCCACGGCAGCTAGGGGGGACACTCCCCTCTACAGAGGCCAAGCTCTGTGTGCACAAGGACAGCCCTTCTCTTTCTTGCTTGTAGCAATGATTTCAACCCAGGAGCTTTAGAGAAGAAAGGAGAACATTCCAGATTGCCTCATCCATTGATCCCCTAGACAGGAAAAGGAGCAAAGAGCTCAGGGCAGTGGACCTGCACGGGGACAAAGGGTCTGTCTTTCAGGCACGTGAGGGTGAGTGAAAACAGGAACATGTGCAAAGGTGGGAGGCCCATACCTCTACCTGTATCATTCTTCCTACCTGTGGCTCGTGGCTGTGGTTTTTCCACAGGCCCTTAATCATTCCTTCTTTAGGGCTGTTGCAAAATAACTCATATGTGATGGGGATGTTCAGTGTCTCAAATGATGCCAGGAAGGTTATACATTTCAAATAGGATCTGGAACATAGAGGCATTTATAAGATTTATTCTTTGTAGGCCACATTTACAGCAAAAATAAAAGGGTGCCTCAAGAAGATGAGGCCAGTTTGTTGGGAAATGTCCATTTCATTTTCTAAATGTAGTCACAGAATATCAGATAAAATTAGTTTGAGCAAAAAGAAACCATCTAGTTTTCTAAATGCTGCTAAGAAACAATGGGGACAGATGTTCTCAAAGACCTATCTCCCTTTTGTCAAAATGTCCAGAATAGAGAAGGCGATAAAATTTACACAGCTATGTGGAGGCTGTGTAATGAATTAGAGGCCTTTGAAATCACAGTTCCAGGGGCTGGAGCCAGGGCTCAGGTGTAGAGCATAAGCCATCGAGTGCAAGCACTAGATCAAAAGTTTGAGTCCTGGTCTTAGACAAACAAAACAAAAACATAGTCCCCCTCCACCCCCCCAAAAAAAGAGAGCTACCTATTTAATAAAACAATGAATAAAATACTACTTACTTGACTTCTTCAATAGGTTTTTTGAAGAGAGATTCTACAGTTTCCTTATCAGCCAGACATAGGAGACACTGAAGAGCTCGTTTTTTGTGAGAAAAAGTTAGCTGGCGTATGCCCAATGTCTGTAAATCCAAAAAGACTTGGAGAGTTGAGCTGCACATCTACATGTTGTAGTTAGGTAAATAAGGTTCAATTTAGGTAAATATCACCTTTTTTTTGGGGGGGGGGCAGCACTAGGCTTTGAACTCAGGGCCTTAGCCTTATTACCTCTTGAGCCATGGCCCCATCCCTTTTTTCCTTTTGTTACTTTTCAAATAAGGTTTCACCTTTTGCCCTCACTGGTCTAGACTGCGATCCTCTTACTTACATTTCCTGTGTAGGTGGGATTATAGGTGTAGGTGTGTACCTGGAGAAAATCTATAATCCCCAGATATGCAGAAGGCATAGTAGGAGAATCATAGTCCCAGACCGGCTCAGGTAAAACAACAACAGAAAAGAAACCATAGCAAAAAGAGTAGGGCATAGCTCAAGTACTCTAGAGCTTGCTTGACAGCCTGGGGTCAGTCCCCAGTACCAAGCGGGGAAAACACACTTTGATACTTCAATATGTGAAAGCCCGAAGGCCAAAAGAGGTTCCATGTGACACAGAGGTTCATGCCGGAAGCCGTTTTACGCAGGCACAAGGCCAAGGTGGAGATTTCTTGGGACCAGATTGTTTGGTCCCCTGGGGTCAGGAACATTGACTAATTAGGGAGCTAGTCGCCCAGAGCCATCAATGGTGCATCATTCACTCTGCTCAGCAGTGGTTACAAAAGCCAGTGCTAACTGGAGCATAGTGCGTGTAATAGTCCTTGTTTACAGAGTAGCATAACCTTTGATTAAGTATGCAAGCCAGCCTTATCTCAGGCATGGCCTATGAAATCAATGGTGGAAAGCACACAGGAAAAGAACATGACCCTGCCGAGCCCATGGGGGTTTTGATAAAGTTTCTAGAGCTTACACTTGTAGCTGATGTTGCAAACATGAACAGCATTCTTGAACTGTAATCAATCGGACGAGACAAGAGGAGATATACAACTCTGCAAAAAAAAAAAAAAAAAACTATTTGTTTTTTAACTTAGTGATAGGTTACTAAAACCAGAAACCTGTGTTTTTGTCCATAGTAAAAGTCAATTGGACATCCCAAACACAGGCCAAGATTTGGTTCCATGACATTTTTGCTTTGCCTGTTCAAGGAGTTAAATATTTTTTAGAGTTCCTTCATAACTAGAGAAAATGATATAAGCATCAAGAGTCAGCCTGTTTTTCATCTGTAAAATAGCTTGTCAATTTGGGTCACTTAAGTTCTACTTAGGAAACTGACTCATGACCTGGTATAAATATGCTGAAGGTTTCACGTGTGCAAAATGCTGTTTTGGTAGAATCCAGGACCTTGCAAGTGGCCCATTTCGACGTCTGGCCGCAGGGCCGCAGGGAAGGGCCTGAGGGACCAGAAGGATGACAAAGGTATGCCACGGACCTCCCACTGGAAAAGACAGCAAGCTCCTTCTACTCTTTGCTGGGGATTTATTTTCTTCTCTCTTTGAACTGCTTCTGTCTAAGACTTTGCATGTGATTGGTTCAGTCAGAAAGGCCAGGAGCCATCTCTTGCTTAGACAAAGATGTGTCTGACCTTAAAAGACTAGACAAGAGAACTAGGGACATGGCTTAAGTTTAAAGTGCTTGTGTAGCAAACACAAGGTCCTGGGCTCAGTCCCCAGTACCACTTGAGAGAGAAAGGATATGGAGAAGGAAGACTAAGGAAGCACTGAGCCAGCCACATGGCAAGTCCAAAGCCAGCCTGGGCTACTTTCCTGATGATCAGATCTCCAGGATCAAGGCAGGCTGTAGAATCTCAGCCACTTGACTGGCTTTTGGTCTAGATCAGGAATGGCAATAGGCTGGTATGCATGCCACCACACCCTCTTCTGGGCCTATGCCAACCACCACTAATAGATAACTACATTCTGTCTGATTCAGTCTCAAAAGATTGCTAAGCCAGAAGCAATCTGATGAAAGCAACATGTTTTTCTTGGTCTTAGCCGTAGAAGGACAAAGATAATTTGGTGGCCCATATTTGAGCCTTCCCAGCCTACTATAGTGAGAGGACAAAGCCTTGGCCTGAGATTGACTTTCTGCTTAAGGGGTCCTAGAAACTAATCCTAATCCTAGATCTAAGTTATTTTACCTTACCTGTCCCCAACACACACACACACACACACACACACACACACATGCATGCACGCACGCACGCACACACTCACACACATGTGATATTCATATCAATGAATTGACTTTTTTCAAAGATTCGAATCTAAGCATATCCAGAAAATCTTTTTTTTCCTGTTTTCATTTCCTGGAGTTCATTTCAATAAATATTATGTGATATGATCAGATGCATACAGGCATTGCACAAAGTCTTTTATTTTATTTTATTTTTTGGGGTCTGGTTATGGGGCCTGAACTCTGGGCCTGGGCACTATCCCTCAGCTCTTCAGCTACCACTTGAGCCACAGCACCCCTTCTGGCTTTTTTCCTTTTGCTTATGTGGTGCTGAGGAATCGAACCCAGGGCCTCATGCATGCAAGGCAAGCGCTCTACCACTGAGCCACCTTCCTAGCCCCCACAAAGCCTTTTAATGGCCAACCTCTGTAAAATTATTGATGGGAATTTTACTGAGCATCAAAATAGAATGGTACCTTCGTAGTGTTTCATCTTCTTGATATTCAAATAATTCTGATGGTTTCTTTGAAAAGAAAACAAACTATATTAACGATATGACAAATAAATGCAAAGTGACATTCTAACTAGATCCTAGACTCAGGGGGAGAAGTTGAATAACAAACATTATAGAAGCCAGGGGTTAAACGCAGGGTCTCACACTTGCTAGGCAGGCATTCCCCCACTGAGCCAGGTCTCCAGCCCCAAAGATCCTTCTTTGAAGAGTCTGTGCCCCTAGAGACTTGTAAGACACAAAGAGCCTTTGAGAAAAGCCCCTAGCTCCCACCTAACAGTGACTCCAGGGCTGTGAGCACTTACCTCCCTTGGTGTTGTTGAGGGACACAGCCATTTTTCCAATAACATGTCCCAGATTCTCTCTAAATTAATTTCATTGACTTCAGCTATTTCTTTAGCTATGGTGTGAATATCTAAGATATCCAAAGCGAGGAATTAAAAAGACAAACAAAACAAAAAAACTCCCAGATTTTTAGTGTAAGACAATTGGGAATCAAAACGATAGGTCTTCCTGAACCAAAATAGTAAGAATTTGGTTCTCACCGGGATAGTTGTTGCCCGAGGAATTCTGCATCCTTTCAATTATGCTGGGGTGTTCATAGAGGCTAACAATGAGGTGTGCTGGCTTTCCTATCGCTCTTAGGTACTCGGGAGTGTTCAGCCTATGGTTGATGAGCACGGCTTCTGTGCCGGAACGCTGGAACTGGACATGAAGCTTCTTCAGCAAAGCCTGGGCCTTGTCACGCGTTTCATCCTTGCAAAAAACCCAAGCAGGAATTAACTGAAGTATATGGAGAGTGCCAATAGTGGAATTCTTCAGAAAGACTATGTCAAAGCCCACCAAAATAAGTACAGAAAATGGGTACTTGCAAGAGGCGGGGGCAAGGGGAGAGGTGCAGAGGAATGAAAGGGAAAGGGAGTGGAACGCAGGTAAGAATCTACTGCATAGACCATACAAGTGAGAAAAATAAGGGCTAGGGTGGGTGGAAGGGGACTGAAAATGTTGAAGGGATGGCACAGATCAAGGTGCACTGTAGATGTAAAGGGTGAAGGGCAAAAAAACTCATCACATTACCTAAGAATTAAGAAAAGTGAGAGAAGAGGTGGGGTGGCTGAGAATGTTGAAAGGGGAGACACTGGGGCTGGGAAGGTGGCTCAGTGGTAAAGCACTTGCCTTGCATGCCTGAGGCCCTGGGTTCAATTCCTCAGCACCACATAAGCAAAAAGAAAAAAGCCGGAAGTGGCACTGTGGCTCAAGTGGTAGAGCGCTAACCTTGAGCTAGCGCTTGGGGGACAGCGCCCAGGCCCAGAGTTCAGGCCCCACGACCACCCCCCCAAAAAAAAGGGGAGACACTGATTAAGAAACTCTGGATTCATAAACTGCTTTGGTGAATGGCAATTCCTTTGTACAACTACTTAAAGATAATAAAAACATTAAAATAAGGGGCTAGGGATGTGCTTGCCTAGCATGCATGAGCCCTGGGTTCCATTCCCCAGTACCACATAAACAGAAAAAGCCAGAAGTGGTGCTGTGGCTCAAATAGTAGAGTGCTAGCCTCGAGCAAAAGAAGTTCAGGGACAACGCCAGGTCCTGAGTTCAAGCCCCAGGATGGGCAAAAATAAAATAAAATGTTAGAACTTGAAAAAAAAAATTCAGGGGCTGGGAAGGTAGCTCAGTGGTAGAGTGCTTGCCTTGCATGCATGAGGCCCTGGGTTCAATTCCTCAGCATCACATAAGCAGAAAAAGCCGGAAGTGGGGCTGTGGCTCCAGTGGTAGAGCGCTAGCCTTAAGCTGAAGAGCTGAGGGACAGCGCCCAGGCCCAGAGTGCAGGCCCCATGACTGGCCAAAAAAAAAAAAAAAACAAACTTATTTTACCAATCCAGGGCATGCTAGGAATTCATCTTTACCAATCCTCAGTTATATCCCTGAGCACACAGCTGCAGGTCTGCCCTCCATTCTGTGCACTGGGGAAGAGAGGGAGGAGGGCCAAGCAAGCACAGCTTCCAGTAAACACTCACCTGAGACGGGATGTTCTGCAGCCACCTCTCAGCTAAATAAAGGCAGAACTTCAAACTAGACATCTTGAAAGAACCTGAAACCATAAAAAAGATTCATGGGCTAATCTGAATTGACAGAACGAATCTTAGTCAAAAGAATAAAAATTTGTTTTTGCAGTCCTGGGGTTTGAACTCAGAGTCTTGTGTTTGGGGCAGGTGCCTACCACTTAAACCATGCCTTCCACCCTTTCTGCTTTAGTTATTTTTCAAATGACAAATAACTTCTTCCTTAGGCTGGCTTTCTCTATAATCCGTCTATTTATATATATATCTATATATGTGTATAATATATATAAATATATATTAAAAATATATATTTTTTGGTCATCAGTCATGGGGCTTGAACTCAGGGCCTGGGTGCTATTCCTGAGCTTCTTTTATTCAAAGCTAGCAGTCTACCACGTTGAGCCAAGCTCTACTTTTAGCTTTCTGGTACTTAATTGGAGATAAGAGATTCACGAACTTTCTTGCCTGGCTGGCTTCAAATTGCCATTCTCAGATCTCAGCCTCTTGAGTAGCTAGGATTACAGGCATGAACCACTGGCACCTGGTTCACAATCTTTCTATTCTCGCTCCCTCCTAGTTGGGACAACAAGCATACGGTAACATAGATAGCTTATTGGTGGAGTGGAACTTGACAATTTTTTTGCATGATCCTACCAATCTCTACCTCCCAAGTAGTTGAGAAGAAAGCTGTCACCACACCTGGGAAAACTTGCAGATACTTTTACATATTAAGAATGAATATCAGCCGGACGCTGGTGGCTCACGCCTGCAATCCTAGCTACTCAGGAGGCTGAGATCTGAGGATCGCTGTTAAAAGCCAGCCCGGGCAGGAGAGACCGTGAGACTCCTATCTCCAATAAACCACCAGAAAACCGGAAGTGGCGCTGTAGCTCAAGTGGTAGAGCGCTTGCCTTGAGCTGAAGAGCTGAGGGACAGCGCCCAGGCTCAGAGTTCAAGCCCCACGACCGACAAAAAAAAAAAAAAAAAAAGAATATCAGGAATAGGAAATGTACTCATTGCCAAACCCCCTGCTCAACCCCTCTGTGCAGCATTTTTACAATTAAAAAAACGTACAAAAAAAAAAAAAAAGAATATCAGGTTAAAAGGGGCAGACGGATATCCAATATGAGGGATGAAGTTTGAGGCCAGTAAGTGCATGAGATATCTTCCCTCTTCAACCCACAGCTGGGCATAATGTCCTGTGCTGTCATCCTAGCAGCATGGGAGGCTGAGCCTGGGAGGGAGGAGGTTCCAGGACAGCCCTGGTAGAAAAGGCTGGGTGTGGTGACGCACGCCTGTCAGCCTGTGATGCAATGCCTAAAATAGGTAGTTCATAGTCCAGGCAGGTGAGACCTTCTCTCAAAACAGGGCAATAAAGGGATGGAAGTAGGGACTGGTTGTAGAGGGCCTGCCCAGTAATCACCATGCCCTAACGTCAACCCTTAAAGGGGTCCATGTCCATTTATATCCCACCTACACCTGGGAACACCTGTGATCCCATGGACCCAACAAGGAGTCTGCATCGCCTAAGCTGTGGAGCATTCAGCAGTGCTGAATGTATGTGGGAACATACATTTAAAAATACACGAGGGGCTGGGAAAGTGGCTCAGTGGGAGAGCTCTTGCCTTGCATGCATGAAGCCCTGGGTTCGATTCCTCAGCACCACTTAAGCAGAAAAAGCCAGAAGTTGTGCTGTGGCTCAAGCCGTAGAGCACTAGCCTGAGTTGAATAGCTGAGGGACAGCGCCCAGACCCAGAGTTCAGGCCCACGACCGGCAATAAGTAAGTAAGTAAATAAATAAATAAATACAGGATAAAGGTCTTAACCTTGAGACAGTTGGGGCTGAAGGCAGAGCTCAGTGGTAGAGGACTTCTGGGCACCCACAAGGCCCTGAGTTGCATCCCTAGCACTATGAAAAAGGAGCACAAAGGGGCAGCATGATGGCTCCCTGGACTGACCCCAGTGGAAGGAGGCTTAGCTACCTTCTGGGACTTCCTGGGTGAGGCTGGTGGCGATGGCAACAGCCCACTCCGGGTTGACTATGGACAGCAGGTAGGACTCGATGGTCTGAGTGATCTTGGCTATCTCCTTGTTCTTTAGCACTGAGGACTTGGTGTGGGTTAATTTCAGGAGCTTGGGCTTCAGATTTTTCTCGAAAACATGCTTGGCAGTAGACATGTAGAGAGTATCTAGTGAGAACTTCCAGGGAAAGGCAAGGAAAGGGAATTGTGAGTGCCTCCAGTCCACCATCAGGGCTGATGCTAGCACAAGGAAGCTCCCTGGCCAGGCTGTGGCCAGACCCGACCCAACCCAACCCAACTCAACCGGACCCAATCTGACCCGACCCGACCCGTTACCTTCATCAACTTGGAGATTAAGAGCAGCGTGGGGAGAGACTTCTCACTGAGCTCAGAAGCTGGGAAGGAAATGGGGAGAGGATGTTTAGCTTCAGAAAAGCAAAAATATATATATATATATTTTGGCTACTTACTAAAATCCATCTGAAAGTAATGAACATACAGAGAATCTTCCAGAAGTTCTGTGCCGTGCCAAACAATATTAAGTGAAAAGGCAGTCTAGTCTGGGCAGCCGAGGGCAGCGTTATCACATGCTCCAGCATATACTGGTACTCCAGGTCCACAGGAGGGGAAATTCTTTTGTATGACTCCAAGTGCTTCAGGAGACTCAATGCCTGCATTAAAATAAATCCTGTTTCTGCAGGCCCAGCCCCGCCTCATGGCCTGTTCCATTTCCCGGACAGACCTCTTTCCATCAAAACCTTTCGTAGCTTTCCCTGCGATGGTGCTCTCCTCAGACAATTCATACAAACAGTAAAGGAACCATCTAGAAGATAACAGTCACTTGTTCTTGAGAGGATATTTTATAAACAACACTACAGAAGCTCTCAATAATCTTTTCCAATAAATTAGAGACAGGCTTAAAAATGATTTCTGATGAATTAATTCATTTTTGAGATGGGGGGGTGTCTCGCTATATTGCCCAGTCTTGCCTCAAATCCCTGGACTTAAGTGATCTGCCCACCTTAGCCCCTCAATCAGCTGGGACTACCCATATATGCCACTGACCCCTAGCTACATTTCATTTTAAATACAGAGGTCTTAGATCTAAAATTAATTCTCTGTATCTATTTATCCAGTGTTTCTATTTTCTAGTTGGGGGCTTGTAGAGCTTTTAATTAACCTTTTTTCTTTTACTATTAAAATCTAATTTAAGAATATGGACCAAAAGCCGGGTGCCAGTGGCTCATGCCTGTAACCCTAGCTACTCAGGAGACTGAGATCTGAGGATCGAGGTTCAAAGGCAGTCCGGGCAGGAAAGTCTGTGAGACTCTTATCTCCAATAAACCACTAGAAAACTGGAAGTGGCGCTTGCGCTCAAGTGGTAGAGCGCTCACCTTGAGCTGAAGAGTGTAAGGACAGCGCCCAAGCTCAGAGTTCAAGTCCCACGACCAACAACAACAACAAAAAAAAAAAAAAGAAAGAAAAGAAAAAAGAAAATGGACCAAAATTCAGAAATAATTAAGAAGTTAGGAAGGGGCTGGGAATGTAGCTAAGCATACAATGTTTGCTTAGCATGCATGGAGCTCTGGCTTCCATTCCTAGGAATGCAAAGAGAAAAATGGAAGGAAAGGGAGAGAAGAATGAAAGCGGGGAGGAAGATAAGAAGAAGCTAAGGACAGTACTAACAATTGAGTGTTCTGGAGCTTCTCATTAATACGGAAGCTAAACCTAACAGAGCTGCCTGTCCTTTTCCCCCTGTAATTCTTCATAACTAGTGCTATAGTCATGTCATTCTCTCAGATAGCTCATTTAAATCACCTCAGTACAGCAAAAATAAGATAAAGATAAATAATAAAATATGGGTATCATGAAACTTTTTACTAAAGTAATAATAATAAAAAGAAAACCTTTTTATTCCTGGAATCCTTTTAAAGAAAAAAGCTCTAGAATAAAGTATAGAGTTCAAAGGGAAGTCAAAAGATTATCCAGAGATACAGGATAACAGTAATGTTCTTTGTGATCCAAAAAAAAAGCATAAAGATGATGTTGAGCTCTTTAGTGTATTTGTTATACCTGATTAATATTAATATTGGTTATCTTTTCATCAGCTCTCTCTATAACTTTCAGGACAACTTCAATCATCTCATAATCATAGGGATCCAACTGTACAAAAACAAACACAACATTAAAGTGTGAGGAGACATGCCGTGCAGAAGATTTGTTCAATTAATGTTTGCTGATACATTAACAGATATAAAATGTCAGTGTACTACAATCTGGTTGAATTATTCTTTAAAATTTTCACTATAAGCCAGCCGCCAGTAGCTCACATCTATAATCCTAACCACTCAGGAGGTTGAGATCTGAAGATCATGGTTCAAAGCCAGCCCGGGCAAGGAAAAGTCTATAAGACTCTTGTCTCTACTGGTCACCGGTGGCTCACGCGTGTCTACTCATGACGCTGAGATCTAAGGATCATGGTTCAAAGCCAGCCCCTGCAGGAAAGTTCGTTAGACTCTTATCTCCAATAAACCACTAGAAAACCAGAAGTGGCAATGTAGTTCAAGGGGTAGAGCACTTGCCTTGAGCTGAAGAGCTGAAGGACAGTGCCCAGGCCCAGAGTTCAAGCCCCACCACTGACAAAAAAAAAAGACATCTCCAATAAAGCACTAGAAAACCAGAAGTTACACTGTGGCTCAAGCGGTAGAGTGTCGCTTTGAGCTGAAGAGCACACAGACAGCGCCCAAGCCCAGAGATCAAGCTCCACAACTGACAAAAAAAAAAAAAAGAAGAAACATTGGGTCAAAATTTCACAATTTTATAAGATGTTGAAATTGAAGTTCTATTTCTTTTGTTTCTAATGGGAAAATGAGAATAGGAATAAAGAGGCATTTTCTTGGGAAGGACTTCATGTCAGTCTCTCTCAAAAGCCTTTTTAGCTGTACCTGTACTTTCTGCTCTAAGAAGTAACAGGGTGGTAGCTACATATACCATTCTTTGTTCTTGGACTCTGCCCACATATTATCATTTTCTATTTTTTAAATGTCAACTTGCATCACATGACTAACAGAAGTGGGAGAAGGTCCATTTGTACTTGGGAAGTTGGAGCAAGTTCACATGTTTGGCTGAATTACAGGCAAAACACCCAACTGAAATTTGTCTTACAGTCTTTCCATCTTATTTCCCTGTCATTTATCCATCAACCTACCTCTTGACTAAAAAACTTTAATTCTGGGCTGGGAATGTGGCTTAGTGGTACAGTGCTTGCCTAGCATGTATGAAGCCCTGGGTTTGAGTTCTCAATACCACAAACACAGAAAAAGCCAGAAGTGATATTGTGCCTCAAGCAGGAGAGTGTTAGCCTTGAGCAAAAGAAGCTCAGGGATAGTGCCCAAGCCCTGAGTTTAAGCCCCAGGACTGGCCAAAATAATTACAAAAAAACTTCAATTCTCAGAAGAATTGGAAAATACACATCTAAAAGATATTCATTATAGTAATTATAATAACAAAATTTATTGTTTGAACATCTCTCCATAAAAATCTGTTTAAATATATTTGAACCACATAATAATAGAATAATAAAAAGCATATAGTAATAGGAATAATAAATAAGCTGGGTACTGGTGGCTCACGCCCGCAATTCTAGCTGCTCATGAGGCTCAGATCTGAGGATTGTGGTTTGAAGTCAACTCAGGCAGGAGAGTCTCATCCCTAATAAACTACTCAGAAAAGGCTGTAAGTGGCGCTGTGGCTTGACGGGTAGGGCGCTAGCCTAAAAAGAATCTCAGGGACAGCACCCAGGCCTTGAGTTCAAACCCCAGGCCTGGCAAAAAATTAAATAGATAATAACAAAACTAGGATAATCACTATACCAAGCTATTAACATTTATTGCTTTTTTGTTGTTTTTTTGTCAGTCAGGCTTGAACTATGGGCCCTTAGCTCAAGGAGAGTGCTCTACCATTTGAGCCACAGTACCACTTCTGGTTTTCTAGTGGTTTATTGGAGATAAGAGTCTCAGAGTTGGGCGCCGGTGGCTCACGCCTGTAATCCTAGCTACTAAGAAGGCTGAGATCTGAGGATCATGGTTCAAAGCTCAGGCAGGAAAGTCTGTGAGACTCTTACCTCCAAAAAACCACTAGAAAACTGAAAGTGGCACTGTGGCTCAAGCACTCACCTTGAGCTGAGGGATAGCACCCAAGCCCAGAGTTCAAGCCCCATGACAGACAAAAAAAAAAAAAAGTCTCACAGACTTTCCTGCCCAGGCTGGCTTTGAACTACAATCCTAGATCTCAGCCTCCTGTGTAGTTAGGATTACAGGTGTGAGCCACCAGGGCTTGGCTTAGTATTTATTTCTAAAGAGCAAAAATATTTATTCTATAGAATAGGATAGGGAAGTTTCTTTCCCTTTTGGGTTTACAGTGGTCTCTCTAGGTTAAGTCTTTTTCAAAGTATGTATGCTATGTTTAAAAAAAAATCTGGGGGCTGGGAAGGTGGCTCAGTGGTAGAGCACTTGCCTTGCATGCCTGAGGCCCTGGGTTCGATTCCCCAGCACTACATAAGCAAATAGAAAAAAGCCAGAAGTGGCGCTGTGGCTCAAGTGGTAGAGCGCTAGCCTTGAGCTGAAGAGCTGAGGGACAACGCCCAGGCCCAGAGTTCAGGCCCCATGACCGGACTCCCCCCCAAAAAAAAAAATCTGAAGGAAAAGTGCTGTTTAGAAATACAGGATATGGGGTTGGGGATTTAGCTCAGCAGAAGAGCACTTGGTTGTCAAGTGCAAGACCCTGAGTTTGGTCCTTAGCTCTGGGGAAAAAAAAAAAGCTATAAAAGACCAAAAGGATATCCAAGGCAACTAAAAATACAGGACAGGATCATGCCTATAATCCAAACTATCCAGGAGGCTGAGATCTCAGGATCATGGTTTGAAGCCAACACAACAGAAAAGTCTGTGAGACTCTTATCTCCAATTAATCACAATAAAACTGGAAGTGGAGCTGTGGCTCAAAGTGTAGTGCTAGCCTCGAGTGAAAAAGCTCAAGGACAGTACCCAGGCCCTGAGTTCAAGCCCCACAATCGACAACAATAAAAGATGCCCATGTAATTGTAACTCCTCTGTATGGTAGTCTCACAATAAAAATAAATAAAAGAAAACCAAGAAAGAAAAACCAAGGAGAAAATAAACCAGGACAGATAGATGGCATTTGTAATCATACATATCTGATTAAAACAGGAAAGATGCTTGAAGAGACTCCATGTATTCACTTCCCTATTTGTCTGCCTACCTTTCGCAGTATTCCACTAAGACTGATGACCAAATCCTTTGTGCTGGTGAGTAAAGGCACCATCTCGATGGCTTTGGCCAGGAATTTGGAATGCTGCCTCTTGGCAGACACCTGGGCGGCATCTCCCTGGCTTTGGCTGGCATTGGTGTTGTGGAGAAGAGTTTCAATGAAAAGCTGGAGGGCTGCATCACAGTCCAACTGAAATGTGCTGAAAGAAGTTGTGGATTTCAGACAATGCACACACCTTACCCGCTCCCACCACGCAAATTAAACCTTCCCATTGTCCAGCCCCAAGTCACACAAACTAGGGACCACCAGAACTAATAATAATAATAAGCCTTTTGGAAATCAGAGTCTTTCCTGGGAAAGGTGAAGGAAGGGGTGACACTGTCCAGAAAAAGAAAGGTACTGAAAACCTGTCTTATAAAATGTACAACATCTTAATAATAATAAAGTTATACTAAAAAATAATAACATTGGAAACAATTCAACTGCCCCTCAATGAGAGGATGGCTAAATAATGTATCCATAGGACAGAATTTAGCCAAGTTCAACAGACAGGAGGAAGATCTGTGCCTATGGACTGCAGAAGACACAGTAGTAACAGCAACATGTTACAAAATGGTTTGCAAAATATAATTCTGTTTCAGTAAATTTTATAAACAACAAAAGACCAACCCAGGCTTTTCTTTCTCTCTCATCCTTTTGGCAATACTGGGTGTTTGAACTCAGCCCCTGGTTGATTACGGTGTTCCTTCCGTGGGGGAGTAGCCTGTGGCTAAGCCAACAACAAAAACACTCTGAGAGTTCAAGGAGTTACCTGCAATATTCCAGAATGAGGCTTGTGTCCATATCAATGTTCTCCACAAGAGCTTTCGTGAATTCTTTCTTGGTGAGAAAGTCTTGTCTAAAGGCTGGTTGAAAAGAAATCTAGAAATGCAAAGAGTAAAATGTAGTCTTGGCTGGTTTCAGGACTCTAGATCCTCCTCCATCAGCCCTCTGCCTGTTGGCATTACAGGTTGTGTACCACCACTACTCTTCTCAATAGTATTTTTTGGGGGGGGGGTGGAGGGAGGGAAACATACAGGTACTGGGGCTTGAACCAAGGCCTCATGCTCAGCTTTTGCACTCAATGTTGGTGTTCTGCCACTTGAGCCACAGTTCCATTTCTGGCTTTTTGCTGTTAATTGGAGATAAGACTTTTCTTTTCTTTTTTTGTTTTTTGTCGGTCGTGGGGCTTGAACTCTGGGCCTGGGCGCTGTCCCTCAGCTCTTCAGCTCAAGGCGAGCTCTCTACCACTTGAGCTACAGCGCCACTTCCAGTTTTCTGGTAGTTTATTGGAGATAGGAGTCTCACGGTCTTTCCTGCCCGGGCTGGCTTTGAACCGCGATCCTCAGATCTCAGCCTCCTGAGTAGCTAGGATTACAGGCGTGAGCCACCAGCGCCCGGCGAGATAAGAATTTTTTGTGGGTCTGGTTTTGAATCACCATCTTTAGACCTTCTGAGTAGCTAGGATTACAGGTGTTCATTGGCACATGCCATCAATATTATCTTGAATCTGCCAGACACAGTGGCATGTGTCTGTCATTCTGGATATCCGGGAGTCTGAGGGCGGAGGATATCTCGGGCTCAGGAATTTAATACCAGTTCGGACCACATAGCAAAACCCCAAGCAAGTAAACAAACAAACACCTTGACCAAACAACAGCAGCAGAAAACAAAAGTATGAGGCTATAGGTAAGGCCAGAAAGAGCACAAGTATCAAATGACATTAGATACACACCTGCCTATAAATGAGAAAGCTAAGTAGGTGAAAATGTGTATTCTTAAGTTCCTATGTGCAAAAGGAAATGAAGCAGAAGGTCTCTTTTAACTAAAATTTATTTATTTATTTTTGGTCTGGTTGTGGGGCCTGAACTCTGGGCCTGGGCGCTGTCCCTCAGCTCTTCAGCTCAAGGCTAGCGCTCTACCACTTGAGCCACAGCGCCACTTCCGGCTTTTTTCTTATGTGGTGCTGAGGAATTGAACCCAGGGCCTCAGGCATGCAAGGCAAGCACTCTACCACTGAGCCACCTTCCCAGACCGTTAACAAAAGTTTATATGAGTACATAAACTTCCTCTTACTGAAGGCAAAGGACAGCGAGATGAATACCTTACATTTTCAAGATGGACGGAACATCACAGCAATGTGAATACTCACGCCAAGTTTTCCGAGACGAATTCCCCACTGGGCGTCAGTACTGACTTCGTGGAATCGAAGCCCCATTTGGACCTCCTGATAGAGACTAGCCAGCTGAGAGCCCACCAAAGAAAGTGCCTTAAAAAAAGACAGAGTAAAACTATCACAAATACAATGGTTTCTTCCATTCTGATGCCTTTGAGAGGCAACGTGACGACAGCACTGACGTCCCCGGCTGAGGATGCGGCTCCTTGGGAGGACAAGCGTGGAGCATGTGCAAAACTTGGCTCAGTCCTTGGCACGGCAAGAACCAAACAAAATCCATAGCCTCCCTGTGTGACGACAGGATAGAACGTCATGCACTGCTTGTTCCCAGTCACAACTTCTTTGACAGCAGTGGGATGATTCATCTTTTGGTTACTTTAGCTGTCTTGCAATTCCTTACAAAAGGTAAATTTTAGAGCAAAACACAACTGCTTGATGTAGTGGTACATACCTATAATATCCGCACTCAGGAGGCTGAGGCTGTGCATTTGAAGCCAGTCTAGGCTACGCTGCAAGAACTCATCTCAGAAATAATAAACATACAAACAAAATCTTACTCCCACAGATAGTTTTTTTTGTTTTTGTCGGTCGTGGGGCTTGAACTCTGTCTGGGGCTGGGTGCTGTCCTTGTGTTCTTCAGCTCAAGGTGAGCACTCTACCGTTTGAGCTACAGTGCCACTTCTGGTTTTCTAGTGGTTTATTGGAGATAAGAGTCTCATGGACTTTCCTGCCTGGGCTGGCTTTGAACTGTGATCCTCAGATCTCAGCTTCCTGAGTAGCTGGGATTACAGGCATGCGTCACCAGTGCCTAGCTCCATCAATTATTTAAATCAACTAATGCTTATTGTCACTGTGTCACCACTCAACTTTAACGCTGGTTGAATCTGTAAGACGTAGTTCAACATTTGTTCCATTACACAAGACAAAGTCATTTCATTTCTTCTCCCAAATCTTTAACTTTAAGAGTGAAAAGTATGCTTGCTCAGTACCTACCAGAATCTTGTCATAATTCTGCCATGCTTTATCTATGAGCTTCCACAGGTTTTCAAACACGTCTTTTTGAGGCAATAGAGTACAGTAACCCAAGGCAAGGTGGAGGTCCACTAGGCGACAATTAAATACCTATGGGAAGAAAGCATCAGAACCATTAAAGTTTTCACAATGAAACCAGAATTAAAGATCTGTCATCAAATTTAATTGTAAATCTTACGAAAGAAGCTGAGTGCGAGTGACCTACAACCCTAGCTACTCAGGAGGCTGAGACCTGAGGATCGCAGTTTGAAACATCCCTGGGCAGGAAAGTCCTTAAGACTCGTATCTCCAATTAACTACCAAAAAAAGTAGTCAGTAGTGATAGCGTGTGAAAAAACTAAGAATGCCCAGCAGTATACACACATACACACAGAGAGAGAGAGAGAGAGAGAGAACTCATGAGAGCTATCTCTAGGACTCTATTTTTTTGCCAGTCCTGGGGTTAGAACTCAGAGCCTGGGCACTTGTCCTTGAGCTTCTTTTGCTCAAGGCTAGCATTCTAAACACTTGAGCCACAACACTACTTCTGGCTTTTTCTGTGTATGTAGTACTGAGGAATTGAACCCAAGGTTTCATGCATGCTATGCAAGCACTCTACCACTGAGCCACCTTCCCAGCCCCTCTAGTACTCTTATCCATAGAGACAAAACAGATATGGTCTCAAAACCCTATCTCAAAATCCAGCCTCAATTGGACTGGATTTTAGTCCTCCTATTTACATTCCTTCTAGAAGCCAGGAATGTGCTACTGCACCCAGCTATTGATTGAGATATGGTCTCGTGAACTTTTTGCCAATGCTAGCCTCAACCTGTGTCCTTCCAATCTGTGCCTCCCAAGTAGCTAGATTACAGGAGTGAGCTACTGGCACCTGGCTTTTTGCAGTACAACACTATTTTAATGTATTATAAACTACTGTAATATATGCATCGTGGATTGAGGTAGAAGGCAAAACAAATGAGTAAAAAACCCACAAATACTTACTTTGTGCAGTAGTGTTGTGGCATTTCCTCTGATAAACATAACAGACTTGTCTTTCAATTCCAGGACAGCATTCTTTAAATTAAGTAATGTGCTCTTTCCAAGTAACTTTCAAAAAAGAACAAATAAATCTTTAGATAACTTCTATGTATCCTTCTGAAAATTCTTCTCAAATAGCAAAGATTCATGATTTTATGAAAAAAAGTATTAGTATTTAATCTATAGCAAGAAACCTGGAGCCAGGACAAAAACAAAACAAAACAGAAAAACTCTATTTCCTGGGCTGGGAGAATGGCTCAACTGTTAGAGCAAATGTCTAGCAAGTTCAATCCCCAATACTGCAAAAACAAATACTCTAAAGTTTATGTAAAAAATTAAAAAGATAAGCTGGGCGCCGGGTGGCTCACGCCTATAATCCTAGCTACTCAGGAGGCTGAGATCTGAGGATTGAGGTTCAAAGCCAGCCTGGGCAGGAAAGACCGTGAGACTCTTATCTCCAATAAACTACTCGAAAACCAGAAGTGGCGCTGTGGCTCAAGCGGTAGAATGCTTGCCTTGAGCTAAAGAGCGCAGGGACAGCGCCCAGGCCCAGAGTTCAAGCCCCATGACCAGAAAAAATAGAAATGTGGGCAAACATCTTGTACTTGTACCTAAATCTCAGATGGTCAACAAGATCTTCTTACATTTAACAAATGATCCATTTCCTGACTATAGGACCAAATCAGGTGGACTGGAGCTAGGCACTCGTTGCTCACTCCTATAATCCCAGCTACTCAGGAGGTTGAGAGCTAGAAGTCAATTCAAGCAGAAAAAGTCTGTGAGACTTCACCTCCGATCCAAAAGTCAGGCTGGAAGCATAACTCAAATAGTAGAGTGCCAGCTAAATAAGTTGAAGGTTCTAAGTTCAAATCTAGATACTGGCAAAAAAAAAAGAAAAGAAAAAAAACTGTTGGTGGGTTTTTTGTCACTTCACATTAAGTCAAAGTATTTGTTCTTGAAACCGTACCTTTTCACTCAAACTGGCGTTCATGAAGTTTGACATAGAGTGCTGGAGACAGGACCCAAAGGAACTAACCACAAATCTTAGGGCCAATTCCCACTGGCTCGATTCCTGAAGGTTCTGAAGCAGTGCAATGATGGAACTTTGAATGGGTAGAACAAAATTGTCTCCTGCCAAGTGATAGAGGATTTGAATATTCAGATTATCTCTTTCTTCTTTTGTTAGTTTCTTTTAAAAATTATTTTATTATATTTAAGTAGTTTACAAAAGAAGTGTATCTTTAGTTTTGTTTTGTTTTGTCAGTCCTGGGGCTTAAACTCAGGGCCTGGGCGCTGTCCCTGATCTCTTTGTCCTCAAGGCCAGTGCTCTACCACTCTGAGTCACAGAGCCACCTCTGTTTCCCCCCCACCAGGGCTGAGGACCAAACCCAGGGCCTTGGGCACGCAGGACGGGTGCCCTTCCGCTGGGCTAAACCCCCAACCCCCAACTACTTCTGATTTTTGAATGGTTCAAGGAAGACAGCGTCTCATGGATCTTCCTGCTCAGTCTGGCTTTAAATTGCGATCCTCAGATCTCAGTCTCCTGAGTAGCGAGGATTACAGGTGTGAGCCACTGGTGCCCAGCTCTTCAGATTTTTTTTTATTTTTTGGGTCCAGTTGTGGGGCCTGAACTCTGGGCCTGGGCACTGTCCCTCAGCTCTTCAGCTCAAGGCTAGCGCTCCACCACTTGAGCCACAGCACCATTTCTGGCTTTTTTCTTTTTGCTTATGTGATGCTGAGGAATCGAACCCAGGGCCTCATGCATGCAAGGCAAGCACTCTACTACTGAGCCACCTTCCCAGCCATCTTCAGATTATTTTTAAAGCAAAACAAAAATAAACCATTATTATAGGAAATTGCTTTCAGTCAGCCTTCTCCTTCAGTGCAAGTAATGATCATGGACTTCCTTCTCAAAGTTAACGTGAGTCTGTATTTAAACCAGAAAAAAGCTGAGTCCACTAAATAATGAGACGTTTAGATTTTAACTTGCTTGTTTTTAAAAATCGAGATGCGCAAATCATGACTAGGTGAAGACTTTCTCTATATGGAAGACTAACACTTCTGAAGAGATTCCTAGATGTTGATACTATCCGCCAAATCTCGTCATCTCCTAACCTTCTGGAAGAATAACAGTGAAATAAACACATGGACAACATGAAGTCAGAGTCTCATTCAGTGTTTTATACAATTTTTATACTTATGAAATAGTAATACAGTACTGTATATTTCCAACATCAAATACCTTTACTAATGGAGCAGTATGGTAAACTGGTAGATTCCAAGGGATATCTTCTGCTTTCTACAAATGAGAATGATAAATGAAACCAACATTAAATAAAATACTCTTATGAAGTATATAGACTCCGATATTTAAGTATTGTGCTACTATCAGTTTAACAACCAGTAAAAATATTGTACAATTATCATAGATGATTCTAAACTGCTTCTCTCTCTTTCTCTTTTCGTTTTTTGGCAGTGCTAGTTTGAACTCAAGACCTCCTGCTCTCTAGGCAGATGCTCTACCCTTTGAAGCCATGCCCTTAGACTATTGCTTTTGTTATTTTTATTTTTGCTTTTGTTATTGTTAGAATAAAGTCCCAGGATGGCCTAGACTGTGATTCACCTATTTATGCTTCTTAGGTATTTAGGATGACAGGTGCATATTACTATACCCGTTTTACATCTGGGCTATATGCCCAGACTAACCTTGAACTATGTATGATCCTTCAGTTCATCTCCTGACTAGCTAGGATTATAGAAGTGAACTACTGGCACCTGAATGCTCTGGTTATTTTTAAGAGAGGGTCTCATTTTGCCCAGGCTAGTCTGCACTTCAATACTATTTATGCTTTCTGCTGTAGCTAGGATGACAGGCCAGGCCCAAGGGGTCTTGTAAAACTTTAATCTTGTCAACTTCAACCTCCTACATAAGTGGGATGACAGATGCATACTGAGCCCTGCTATTGGCTGAGAAAGGGACTGGGGGAAGGTGTCTGTGTAAACTTTTCACCAGAGCTGGCCTCGAGCTATGATCCTCTCATCTGTTGAGTAGCTGGGATTACAGGTGTGAACCACAGGGCTTGGCTCATACTGCTACTTTCTGTTGTGTGTCGTTCTAGTGTAAACCTCTATAGTTTAAATTTCTATAAAGAGAAAATGCATAGAAAACAATGAGACAAATGAAGATTCACCTGTGAGAGGCACCAGGGTTGAAATAAACTCATAAATAAGGGGTAGCACCACCTGTGCTTCAAGAACAATGCCATCTTCATTGAAGAAGTCACTGTAAGACCACTCTTCATATGGATCCTTATGAGTTCCAAAAGAAGTCTAAATACCAAATCAAACAGAGAAGACAGGAGTGCACTTCCAAACAGGTACCATTTTCACAGAGCAGACAGATGGATGCGAGCCAAATAGCTTCCATGGTCAATGCACCTATGTACAGCTGGTACAGATTCTACCAACTGTAGATCTGAGTTATTCAGAAGAAATCAAACTGTACAGACTTTATTATTTTGATCATTTCCTCCAGAGGTGGGGAACCTTTTTTCTTTTGCCTGGAACCATTTGGATATTTATAACATCATTTGAGGGCCATAAAAAATGTTCACATTGGCATACAGCCATAGGCAGCCAATGAGAAGCATATGTGTCTGTCCTGTCATATACCAATGACTTCAGGGGCTTTATATAGATTGTAGGTAGGCTGTTCTCTACTCTGCAAACAAATATATTTTAACAACTACATATATAGCATTGAAACTGCATCAGGCATTACAAGTAATCTAGAAATGGTGAAAGTATATGAGAATATGTATGTAGGTTATATGCAAACACTATACAATTTTAGATAAGACATTTAGATAAGACATCCATAGATTTTGGTTTCTGCAAGGGGGCCCTGGAAACAAGTTCCTCTTTGGATACTAAGGCGACAATTGTATTCTGTTTTCTCTGACCTGCTTTATGCAGATACTGGGGCTTGAACTCAAGGCATGGGCACTGTTCCTTAATTTTTGCTCAAGGCTGGTTATTCTACTACTTGAGCACACTTCCAGCTTTTTGCTGATTAACTGGAGATAAGAGTCTTATGGAAAGTTGGGCACGGTGGCTCATGTCTATAATCCTAACTACTCAGGAGGCTGAGATCTGAGGATCATGGTTCAAAGCCAGCCAGAGCAGAGAGACTCATCTCCAATTAAACACTGGAAAAGCAAAAGTGGCACTCAAAGTGATTGAGCACTAGCTTTGAGCAAAAAGAACTCAGGGATGGTGCCCAGGCCCAGAGTTCAAGCCTCACAACTCACAAAAAAAAGTCTTATGGAGCTGGGCACAGGAGACTCATGCCTACAATCCTAGCTACTCAGGAAGTTGAAATCTGAGGACCAGGGCTGGGAAGGTGGCTCAGTGGTAGAGCGCTTGCCTTGCATGCATGAGGCCGTGGGTTTGATTCCTTAGCACCACATAAGCAAAAACAAAAAAGCCGGAAGTGGCGGTGTGGTTCAAGTGGTAGAGCACTAGTCTTGAGCTGAAGAGCTGAGGGACAGCGCCTAGGCCCAGAATTCAAGCCCCATAACCAACCAAAAAAACTCCAAAACAACAACAAAAACCACAAGTAGAGCTATAGCTCCAAGTGGTAGAATGCTAGCCTTGAATAAAAACTCTCAGGGACAGTGCCCAGAAGCTGAGTTCAAGCCTTATGAGCATAAAAAAGAAAAGAAGAAGCCAGGCGCTGGTGGCTCACGCCTGTAATCCTAGCTACTCAGGAGGCTAAAATCTGAGGATCGCGGTTCAAAGCCAGCCCGGGCAGGAAAGACCGTGAGACTCCTATCTCCAATAAACCACTAGAAAACTGGAAGTGGCGCTGTAGCTCAAGTGGTAGAGCGCTAGCTTTGAACTGAAGAGCTGAGGGACAGTGCCCAGTACAAGTTCAAGCCCCACACCCGACCAAAAAAAAAAAAAAAATAGAGGAGTATTACAGAGTTGTCTGTCTGGCTTTGAACTGAGATCCTCAGATCTCAGGTCCCTGAGTAGCTAGGCTTATAGACTTGAGCCCCAAGTGCCTAGCTTGGAACTCATAATCCTCTGTCACCACCTCCTGAGTGTCAGAATTGTAGGCATTTATCACCATGCCTGAATTTCAAAAGTGGCACTTCAAATTTTACTCTAACAGAAGGACAATGTTCAGAGTCCTCAATGTTCAAAAGATGGTACTACATGAAAGCCAGTAAGTATGACTGGAAAAGAGGCAGCTTCGTGCCCTCTGATGTTCTAGTGGAGAATAAAAAAATGTAAGTGGTAGATGCAGGATTTTTGAAGCTCACGAACATAATGAGATGGCAGGAAAAAAGACTCACAAATGACTTACTTTCATTAGCACTCCACAGTTATCCATCTGGCATTGTCTGCAAAGTTCCACAGCAGTGAGAGTGTATTTACACAGTTCTAGCACATCTAATAAAAAATCTGAGAAGGGGAGAAAACCCAGCAAAATGTTTTACATCTTTACAATAATGAAAACAACTCCCCTAATTTTTGTTTTTTGTAATTGCCACCTACAATTCTAAGAAAGTCACACAGTAGACTGAAAGGTTTCCACAGACTATTCTAAATGCAGTCCAAGTTTTTTCTGAAGCTTGGCTTAAAAGTTTGGTTAGCTATGAGGAGGCAAGGAATCTCAGAATCCTACAAAAGTAAAGATTGCCAAGTCAGAAATGCCATTGTTGATCTGTTTTCTACTTGCTACATAGCCCAGGCTGGCTTTGAACTTACAAACTACCTACTTCAGCCTCCTCAGTACTGGGATTACAGAAGTGGGCTACCACAACTGGCTTTTAATATTTAAAATATCAACTCCTATAAGAAGGAGATGTATTGTAATACTGTGTTGTTACTATCCAGCATTTGAGAGACATGAACACCACAAGCCAGAGACCATGAGAGATTTCTTAATCTTGTCACCTGGACTGCAGATGGCGGCCGCTTGGCATGCGAGACCATGAATCTCAGTGGGAAGATTCAGTTCCACGGGAGCTGTCATGGGGACATCATTAGCCAACATCTCACAAAGCTTCTGACAGGCCAGAAACAGCAATTTTCCAGTGTCAGCATTGCAGTGATACTTAACTAAGTCTCTGTGGAGGAAAACAAGTGTGGATAACTACAATACTCAAAAAGCAGGTATGTTTATCTTTTTTGTGTTTTGTTTCTACAGGAGTTTGCATTCAAGGCCTGACACTTCCAAGCAAGCACTCTATATTTCTACCATTTGGGACAAAAACTTATAATACACATCTGACTTTTTGTTTTGTTTGAGATCGGGACTTGAACTTGGTATATGAGGGTTTTTTGGGGTTTTTTTGTCGGTCATGGAGCTTGAACCCTGAGCCTGAGCCCTTTAGCTCACAGTGAGTGCTCTACCACTTGAGCCACAGTGCCACTTCACGTTTTCTGTTGTTTAATTGGAGATAAGAGTCTCATGGACTTTCCTGTCTGGGCTGGCTTTGAACCACGATCCTCAGTTCTCAACCTCTTGAGTAGCTAGTATTACACTCGGGAGCCACTGGTGCCTGGCTCGGTATATGAGGTGTTTTTTTTTTTTGTTCACTGTTTAGCGCTCTTCCATCTGAGCCAGGCCTCCAATCTACCACATTTGACTTTGTTGTATGAGTATCTAAACTACTACCATCAACAAATAGAGTATGTTAAGCTGGGCGAGGTGGCTCACACCTGTAATCCTAGCTACTCAGGAGGTTGAGATCTGAGAGTCACAGTTCAAAGCCAGCCTGGGCAGACAATTTCACAAGACTCTTATCTCCAATTAACAAGCAAAAAGCTGTAAGTGGAACAGTGCCTCAAGTGTAGAGTACTAGCCTTGAGCAAAAAGTTAAAGAATAGCTCCCAGGTCCTGAGTTCAAGCCTCAGTACTTTCACAAAACAACAACAACAAAACCAGTATTCCTGGCTCTACGCTTATCACTGAAGAAATAAAACACATACTGCTTTCAGAGAAACTGAATAGACTGAAGTCACCAGTGTTACCTGCATTTGCTCAGTGCTGTCCCAACTTTTCCATCTTTCAGGGCTCTCAGCGCTAGCTCTGATTCTAGTTCTTGGGCAGACATCTGCAGGGCTAGTGCCTGTCTGTGCAGCTTTGACTGGGTGTTCAGGCCTGGCCCTTGGGTGGCTTTGGGCCCAAAGGTGCTTTTAATTTTGTTCTCCTGGGCATCCTGGTGAGCTTTAATGTGCTGTTCACAAAGATCTGCTACCAGGGCACTGTTGCTATAATCTTCAAATGGAAGAAAGACCTCGAAGTTCTCCTGCACCAAGGTAAGCAAGACAAAGTCGTAAGTCTTAAAAAAAAAAAAAAAAATCATCCTTGGGGTCCAACCCTTTTTAACCACACCTGCCTCAGAGATTACTCACTTGTAAATTAAGAAGTCAAACTTTCTTAATTCAAAATCTATTAAAATAAGAATAATATGCAAAATCTGGAAAAATAGGAAAACTATCACTATAAACCAGGGTTTCTCAATTTCAGCTGTACTGACATTTGTGATCAATAATTCTGAGTTATGGGGAAACTTGAACATAAAAGAGGAGTGAAGCAACAGGCTGGGGCAATTCTAATGGGTTGAAGAACGCATCTTTGCTCTCTTCTGTAACTTCTGGTTAGCTCCTCACTCTAGACTATAAAGATTTATTTCCTTACTTCTATTAAAATCTCATTGATGGGGCTGGGAAGGTGGCTCAGTGGTAGAGCACTTGCCTTGCAAGCATGAGGCCCTGGGTTCGATTCCTCAGCACCACATAAGCAAAAACAAAAAAGCCGGAAGTGGCACTGTGGCTCAAGTGGTAGAGTGCTAGCCTTGAGCTGAAGAGCTGAGGGACAGCGCCCAGGCCCAGAGTTCAGGCCTCATGACCGGACCCAAAAAAAAAATAAAAATAAAATCTCATTGAAGCGCAGAAGTGGGCCACCAGTACCCAGCTGCTTTTTTATTTTTTGTTGGTCGTGGGGCCTGAACTCTGAGCCTGGGTGCTGTCTGAATTGTATATAGAAATATTGTTAAAATTAGTAACAATGTCATACATAACTTCTTAAAATTTTTCTTTTTCTTTTTTGCCAGTCCTGAGGCTTGAGCTCAGGACCTGGGTGTTGTCTCTGAATTTCTTTTGCTCAAGGCTAGCGCTCTACCACGTGAGCCACAGTGCCACTTCTGGCCTTTTGTTTATGTGGTACTGAGGAATCAAACGCAGGGCTTCATGCATGTTAGGCAAGCAGTCTACCACCAAGCTACATTCCCAGCCCAACTTCTTACGATTTTTAAAAACCAATACTAGAATGTATCAAAGTCATTGAATGGATGAACCGTATAGTATATGAATTGTCATATCAATAAGTTGTTGAGAAGAAAAGAACCAGAAGATAGAGTGTCTAGAGGCAGCTGGTGTGGAACACGTAGGTTAACTGCACTTACGGGCACTGCTGCTCAGCATCATTACCTGTAAACCAGCAACCACCTTAAATAGTTTCAAGACTTCTTCACACTCATCCTTCTTCTGTAGATTGTCTGTAATTAAAATTTTGAAATTTACACCAGCTATACATACTTCCACATGCTACTGTGTGCATGTCATCCCAGAATATCCTATGTTTGTTGTTGTATTAGGGAAGGCAGAACCATTGGGAGGTAAGCGGCAGGGCCTTCCTGAATGAATGAGCCCTTTCAAGGACTAAGGGTTGTTGTTGGAGTGTGTATGTTATAAAACTGATCTCTCTCTAGCACTTGCTCTAGCTTGGTCTGTCTCGATGTGGGATGCCCTCTGTTGTGTTATGAGGGCCTTAGCAGGGCTGGAAGTGTGGCTCAGCTAGTAGAGCATTTGCCTGGCAAGTTCAAGGCCTCAAGTTCAAACTTCAGTACTGTCAAAAATGAAAAGAAGGCCTTCAGAAGGAGGCCTCTTCAGAACTGTGAGTTAAATAACGCTAAATAAAAAGCTAAATTTAAAGCTAAATACAACTGTAAACTCTCTCCTTATTAATTATCTGATCTTAGAAATTTTATTACTGAGGCTGAGAAGGTGGCTCAGTGGTAGAGTGCTTGCCTCACATGCATGAGGTCCTGGGTTCGATTCCTCAGCACCACATAGACAGGAAAAGCTGGAAGTGGTGCTGTGGCTCAAGTGGTAGAGCGCTAGCCTTGAGCTTATGAGCTGAGAGCTGAGAGACAGTGTCCAGGCCCAGAGTTCAAGCCACAGGACCAACAACAACAAAAACAACAAGTAACTTCTTTTCCCCCATAGTTACTTCTTTAACTGCTTCTAAGTTTAAATGGATTTTCCTGCTCTATCTAGTTGCCTATAACCAAATGAAATGTGAGAAAAATGAACAATAAGTTCAGATTATCAAAGAAGTCTGGGAAAGCACTGAGCAGCTTATTGAAGCAAATTTTAAAAAAGCTGATTTGACATGCTTCTCTTCTCATACTACCCATTTAAAAAATATGTCAAGAAAGGCAGAAAAATAGGTAATATTATTAAAGACATTCAAAGCCAAGACAACCATAGGTATGATATTAGCTGTCACTCGTGGGACCCATCTGAAAAGGTTGAGCTTTGGAACAAAACCCAGATGAAGAACAGAGGCAGACACTACCTTTTTGAATGTTGTAAAGAATTTTTAGAATGTCTACTGCTGTCTTCGCCACAGACATTCTCCAGGCCTTCTCCTAAAATAAAGATGCAAAAGAATAAAGATGCAAAATGAGATATGCTTCTTTTACTGAATATCTCAGTAGGACATAGACAAACATAAAAAAAACCATAGGACCACCAGCTTGGAGTATAGTTCAGTGGTAGTGTGTTTTCCTGGCATACATGAGGCCCTGGGTTCCCCTCCCAGTAGCACAACCAAACCCAACCCAACCAAATGAAACAAAACAGTAGCAAGGATTCAGAAAAACAAAAACAATGACAAACAACAACAAGAGTAGAGCTGAAAAATGAAAGGTATAGGTTAGCAATAGTTAGAAAAGCTACAAAAGGGCTAATAAGTAAGTCTTATATAGGCTAAACATGAATAAAACTAGTTACTACACTATGATGAACATTTTCTCTCTCTCCCCCCACTTCTCTTTGTTTTTTCTTTCTTTTTTTTTTTTTTGGGTCCAGTTGTAGGGCCTGAACTCTGGGCCTGGGTGCTGTCCCTCAACTCTTCAGCTCAAGGCTAGCACTCTACCACTTGAGCCACAGCACCACTTCCGGCTTTTTTGCTTTTGCTTATGTGGTGCTGAGGAATTGAACCCAGGGCCTCATGCATGCAAGGCAAGCGCTCTACCACTGAGACACCTTTCCAGCCCCTCTTTTTCTTTTTTGTTGGTTGTGGGGCTTGAACTCTGGGCCTGTATGCTGACTCTCAGCTCTTCAGCTCAAGGCTAGCACTCTACCACTTGAGCCACAGTGTCACTTCCAGTTTTCTGGTGGTTTATTGGAGATTAGAGTCTCATGGTCTTTCCTGTCAAGGCTGGCTTTGAACCGAGATCCTCAAAGCCCAGCTTCCTGAATAGCTAGGATTACAGGCGTGAGCTACCGGTGCCCAGCCAGATTTATTCTCGATCAGGCTACTTATTCCAAACATTTGGAAATGTTCTTAGGAAAAGTTAGAAAGAACAAAAAAGAAGTCTACTAAGTAATCACTACAGTATTTCTTCTAGTGATTAAATAAAATGATTTGATAAAGTGCTAATTCCAGCAAGATTAATTAAAATAATTCAGTAAAGAGACAATCCCAGGGAGTCGAGAGGTAGAGATCAAGAGGATCAGACTTTTCTTTTCTTTTAGATTTTGACAACAACTTATTAAAAAGAATTAAAGTTTATTTAGATTTAAATGTGTAACCAGTATTGTTTGTTGTTGAAAATGAGTAAATGAGTTTACTTCATGTAAGAAAGTTGAAGTTCCAGTAAGCACATCAATGATTTATTATTTTAAAAGCATTATATATTATTTGGAACTTATATAGTGCCCTCAAAGTATTTGACCCTTTAAATAATAGTCTAGATTTCACTCAACTCAACTCTAAATGATGGCTTGAGATGTGAAAGTATGTCTAGATTGATATATTTTGGAAACCATGCATATTCAACAAGGTAATAACTTTATGTATGATAATCATATCCATTTCTCAAAGGAATACAAGTGCAAAGTGCTCATTTTTAAATTTCCACCCACTAGTGAGGCAGAGTATGCAGGAGATAGTTATAGTTCCAGTTTTAAAACCAGAGTAATATATGATTTATAGGTTTGAATTCTGTTACTGACTGATGTGAATTTCAAAAAGAATTTTGTCAATTCCCATTTCTACTCTTTAGGCTGAGGCAGGATCATAAATTCAAGGCCAGCAGAAGCTATAGCAATACCCTGAGGATAGAGAGGAGTGTCCACTGGTCCAAGCCCTGGACTCTGAGATCTTTTTTGTTGTTGGTGGTGGTCGTGGGACTTGAACTCTGGGCCTGGGGGGGGTCAGACATTTTGCCCAGGCTCAAACCACGATCCTCAGATCTCAACCTCCTGAGTAGCTAGGATTACAAGTGTGCCCTATAGTGAAGGCATTATGAAGAACACTTTTATATTCAACAGCTACTCCAATTCCTTTAGCTTGCAGATCTTGGTTATTCAGTGTGGGCTAATTCAACTGCTCCAAAGCAGCCATAGCTGCATTTCCCCTAGGTCATAAATGACACAGGAATGGTCACATGAGGCCACTCTGCCAGTGATAAGGACAGAGCTTTATGTAAGTCTACCCTTTTCCATCCATGAAAACTGGGTTTGTTTATTAATTAAAGTAATTATTTTGAGCCAGGTTTTTTTTTATATAACCCAGATTGGCCTGGGGCTCACGAACTGGCTTCCTCTGCTGCCAGAGCGCTGAGATTACATGCGTGTGCCATCAGTACAACTTACTTAGTAAAACTCTCACCTCTTTAGAATCGTCTGGTTCTTCTTGCAATGCCTGACGAGCCCAGATGACAACTCTCTCAGCAGCTCTCTCAGCTTCAGAGGGTGGCAAGGACCGCAACAGGAGGACAGAGTCTTCACCCTGTGAACAGAGTCAGAAGGGAAGATGGAACAACCGTTCTATGCAGAGGACAGTGGACATACCTCCTCCTTTCCAACATGAAGAGGAAAGGACAAACAGCAGTAAGGGCTGGGGATGTAGAGCTTAGTGGTAAGACCACTTGCCTAGCATGTGCAGTGCCCTGGATTCAATCACTATCTCTGGTTTGTAACAACAACAAATATCAATCATCTAGCATGAATGAGGACCTAGATTCAATCTCTTGTGCCCAATCATTCACAAAAAGAGAGAGAAGGAGAGTGAGAGAGAAAACATGAAAAAGCATTTTGAAAAATAGAATATAGTCAATTTTTAAAAAAAATCTGAGACTGGAGATTGGGGATTTAGCTTTGTGGAAGAGCACTTGCCTGGCAAGTGCAAGGCCCTGAGTTCATTCCTCAGTTTTGAAAACAAACAAACAAACAAACTGGGACTGAAAATATGGCTCACTAGTTGAGCTCTTGCCTAGCAAGCATGATTTTCTGAGTTGAAAACCCAGCAGTGTCAAATAAATATATAAAAAAATTAAATAAAACAAATAAGCACAAAAAACCCTAACCCTATGAAACTTCTATTTCGATGACAACTATACAGAAACTAAATTTAAAATACAGTCATAGGTACTAATGATCAGCTTACTTCTTGAGCATTCCTCAGGTTATGAATATGTAAAATAAAAGCCATTTAAAGATACAAAAAAGGTATCTGTAGGGTTACAGTTCAGTGGTAGAGCATGTGTTAGCATGCACAAAGCTCTGGCTTCCTGTATCCAAAAACTGAAAAACCAGGTACAAGCCAGTAATCACAAGGCTGTAATTGTAAGCCTATAATCCTAGCTATCTGGGAGGCAGCGACTGGGGGATGGATGTTTGGAGTTCATAAGACTCCAGATCAACCAATGGTTCAGCAAAGTGGTTTCCAGCTACAGGGGAAGCACAAGTAGAAGGATGCCAGCCTGCATGCATGCTAGGCAAACACTCTACCACTAAGCCAAATTCCCAGCCCCACATTTGATTTTTTTGTTGTTGTTGGTCGTGGGGCCTGAACTCTGGGCCTTGGGTGCTGTCCCTCAGCTCTTCAGCTCAAGGCTAGCGCTCTACCATTTGAGCCACAGTGCCACTTTTGGCCTTTTCTGCTTTATGTGGTGCTGAGGAATTGAACTCAGGCAAGCGCTCTACCACTGAGCCACCTTCCCAGCCCACATTTGATGTTTTTATGTTGATATTTATTTTGTAAAAATCAGTTTGGCTCATATGATCGAATTTTATTTTTTAAGGATGTAGTTAGCAAAGATCTCTACAAAACAACATACCTGTTCTCTATCAATCAGATCGATCATTCTTAGACTATAGACCTCATCAGCAGACAACATGTACCCTTGAGCCACCTTTAATGCATCTTCTAAGGAGGACGAAACATCTTGCTTGAGAATGTATCTGATCACCCTCTGAAACACATGGCACGGCCATCTCCTGTTATGAACTCAGAAAGAATGCAGGAATCATTTGCTATAAATCATTTGCTAACAAATCAAACTAATGCAATACAAAACTAAGCCATAGCCGGGTGCTGGTGGCTCACTCCTGTAATCCTAGCTATTCAGGAGACTGAGATCTGAGGATTGAGGTTCAAAGCCAGCCCGGGCAGGAAAGTCCGTGAAACGCTTATCTTCAATAAACCACTAGAAAACTGGAAGTAGCACTGTGGCTCAAGCGGTACAGTGCTTGCCTTGAGCTGAAGAATGCAAGGACAGCGCCCAAGTCCAGAGTTCAAGCCCCACGAACGGAAAAAAAAAAAAATTGAAGACAAAACATAATTATATTCTGAATTTTGCAACAGTCCTGTTTTTCTTCGTATACAATTTGCTGTCCTTAATATGCTCATCAACAACTGAATATCCTCATCAACAACTGAATATCCTATTATGATCATACCTAAAGAAAATGTAGCTCTAATAACCAGTTAGACTACAGAATCCTCATTAAAATTTCCACATTGCCTAGAACTAGAACCAAAGGGGAACAATTTTCCATATCATACTCACCATTATTTCGGTGTTTAAGAGATTCACCTCTCTTATTCCATAGCCCCGTAAAAGCATTTTCATTTCAACAAGTTTGTAACTTTCCTGCAATAGTTTGACCCTAAAAGCAAATTTGTGAAATTTATGGTTATTAACATGGGTTATTTTTATTTGTATGTATGTGTGTGTGCGCTGGTCCTGGGGCTTAAACTAAGGGCCTGAGCGCTGTCCCTGAGCTTCTTTTACTCAAAGCTAGTGCTCTACCATTTGAGCCACAGTTCTACTTATGGGCTCTGTGGGTGGTTAACTGGAGATAAGAGTCTCATGGACATTCTTGCCCTGGCTGTCACTGAACTACAATCCTCAGATCTCAGCCTCCTGAGCAGTGGGGATTACAGGCCTGAGCCACCAGCACCCAGCTTGAATTGTCTTGTTTTGATGAAACACCCTGCAACACAGTAAACAGAAAACTCACCACATCAGCTCATCTAGGGAACAGTAACTTTGTTTTTGGTGGGCAGAAATCTTACTTGGGATGGTCCATCTCCAGGTGCTGTTTGACCAGCTGCTCCACAGCTGCGCTCCAGGGGACGACCGCCTTGTACATGATTTTAAGCACAGCATCAAATATGAGCTAAGAGAGATACACAGGGAGACAAGGACAAACTTGCATGCGGATTAACCACATAGAAGTTGGTCCCTTTTCATACTATACAAATTCACCTTTTTATGAGAAATAAAAGTCTTTATGATCTGGTACCCACAGGGAATCCACGTACAAGTGTTCACTTACGTCTGTGTCAGACAGACATCCTATTACTGCCATGGCCTTTGCTTCCCAAGCAGTGTCAAAGAGCGATGTAGACTTCGAGCTGCACCTCCCGAGTAAGTCCTAAGTTGAGGTAAAAAAAAGAATATATAAAAAATTAGAGGGCTGGGGTTGGGAAGGTGGCTCAGTGGTAGAGCACTTGCCTTGCATGCTTGAGGCCCTGAGTTCGATTCCTCAGCACCACATAAGCAGAAAAAAAAAAAGCCAGAAGTGGCGCTGTGGCTCAAGTGGTAGAGCACAAGCCTTGAACTGAAGAGCTGAGGGACAGCACCCAGGCCCAGAGTTCAGGCCACGACTGGAGAGAAAAAAAAAAAAAAATAGAGGGCTGGGAAGTTGTCTCAGTGGTAGAGTGCTTGCCTTGCATGCATGAGGCCCTGGATTCGATTCAACAGCAATACATAAGCAGAAAAAAGCAGGAAGTAAGGAAGTAGTGCTGTGGCTCAAGTGGTAGAGTGCTGGCCTTGAGCTGAAGGACAGCGCCCAGGCTCAGAGTTCAGGCCCCACAACTGGACCCCCGCCAAAAAAATACTCTTAATTTATTGAGTTGAAAATAGTTCTTCAGAAAGTCTTACTACTTTGCTCCTTTTTTTTTTTTTGCTCGTTGTGGGGCTTGAGCTCTGAGCCTGGACGCTGTTCCTGAGCTCTTCAGCTCAAGGCGAATCCTCTATTACTTGGTCCACAGCACAACTTCTGGTTTTCCGGTGGTTAACTGGAGATAAATGTCTTATGTACTTTCCTGCCCAGGCTGGCTGTGAATCATGATCCTCAGATCTCAGCCTACTGAGTAGCTAGATTTACAGGTGTGAGCCACCAGCGCCCATCATGCTACTGCCCAGGTTTATCTTAATTTGTGGGCTCAAGTGATCATCCTACCTCAGCCTTCCTAGAAGCTCAGAGGTCTTTAGTCTATCAAAGATGGAAAAGGGGCTGGGAAGGTGGCTCACTGGTAGAGTGCTTGCCTTGCATGCACAAGGCCCTGGGTTCATTTCCTCAGCACCACATAAGCAGAAAAAGCCACAAGTTGTGCCATGGTTCAACTGGTAGAGCGTTAGCCTTGAGCTGAAGAGCTGAAGGACAGAGTCCAGGACCAGAGTTCAGGCCCCATGACTGACCCCCCCCCCCAAAAAAAAAAATCAGAAATTTTTTGGGGCTGGGAAGGTGGCTCAGTGGTAGAGCGCTTGCCTTGGATGCATGAGGCCCTGGGCTCGATTCCGCAGAACCACATAAGCAAAAAGAAAAAAGCCGGAAGTGGCCCTGTGGCTCAAGTGGTAGAGCACTAGCCTTGAGCTGAAGAGCTGAGGGACAGAGCCCAGGACCAGAGTTCAGGACCCACAACCGGACCCCCCCCCCAAAAAAAAAAGAGATGGAACTAATCTATTTTCTTTCTTTCCTTTCCTCAATTTTTCTTTTTCTTCTTTCCTTCCTTCTTCCCTCCCTCTTATAGACTTTTCTGCCCAGGTTGGCTTTGAACCACAATCCTCAGATCTCAGCCTCCTGATTACTGGGGATTTACCAATAAAAGCCACCAGCACCTGGCTGTTTTTATTTTTATTTTTTTTTGTTGGTCGTGGGGCTTGAACTCTGGGCCTGGGCGCTGTCCCTCAGCTCTTCAGCTCAAGGCGAGCGCTCTACCACTTGAGCTACAGCGCCACTTCCGGTTTTCTGGTGGTTTATTGGAGCTAGGAGTCTCATGGTCTCTCCTGCCCGGGCTGGCTTTGAACCGAGATCCTCAGATCTCAGCCTCCAGAGTAGCTAGGATTACAGGCGTGAGCCACCAGCACCTGGCCTGGCTGTTTTTATCTTTTCTCTGTAATCATAGTTTGAACTCAAGGCTGTGCTTGAACACAATTCCAGCCCAATGTTTGGTTAGGTATTTAGAAATGGAGTCTTGGGATTTTCTTGCCCACAGAAATGCTCCAGCTCTCATCTTCCTGGGTAGTTAGGATACAAGGATGAACAAATACCATTTGTCTATAAGGCTGACTTCAAACTGTAATCCTATTTCAGCCTCTCAAGTCACTAAGATTGTAGGTATTTAGCCACCTAATTTAACCCATGCTCTTATTCAATAAAAGAAGGGCTCAAAGCATAATACTCGTTAAAGACTGAAACAGTATATACAATGACAGGCTATGTGAATCTGAGAAATAGGCTGGATCTAAAGGAAACATCACCTCAATGTAGAGCAAGAGAAGCTCCTCCTCCTGTAGGTCATGCTCTCTCATGTAAACCCGGATGGACTTCTCCAGAACAGAGGGAATGAGCTGTGGAGCCAACACTCTATCAAACATTCGGAACACTATGGTGGTTGCATTTTCCTGGATAAGGGATGACAAGTAAAAAAATATAAATGCAGATTCTAGGTATACCTAAATATAATAAACAAACTAACGCTTGTGAGTGGAGTTTTACCTTCTCAAAATCAGACAGGGCCAATTTACAGTTGTATTTCCTATGCAGTGTGATCAGCTCTCTCAAGCTTTTTACCAAAGTCTGTAACTGACATACTTCCTCCGTGTTCTGGTAATCTTTCTAAGACAAAAGTGGTGGTTAAGGATATAAAATAGAAGCGTGAGAAGGGAACAGAGTCAAACTTATTTCAAGGAAAGAAAGGAATGATAATGACTATACATAAGAGGAAAATTATACCTTGGAATTATGCTTGAGGCTTACCTACTATAAATGAACATAAATTGGAACCCAAAAGTTTGTTTTTTTCAGAATCCAAATATGTGTTTGTGCATAAATCTTGTTTAGATCTTCATCAACACCTATCTACCGATACAGATCACAACCAGATATACAAAGAAAATACTTCCTAACATTATATGTGAAAAATAGGATTTTTTTTTTTGGTGGGGGTCTGGTGGTTTATCTCCAATAAACCACCAGAAAACTGGAAGTGGTGCTATAGCTCAAGTGGTAGTGAGCTCGCCTGGAGCTGAAGAGCTGAGGGACAGCGCCCAGGCCCAGAGTTCAAGCCCCATGACTGACAAAAAAAAAAAAAGGAAAGGAACAAAGGAAATTCTCTTTCTTTTGGATTTTGAAAGGAAAAAAATAAAAGGGAGAGAGATATAATAGGAAACGTATGTAGATATATCCCAATACATCTCTCCTTAGATATGGAGACAAAATGTCCAACAAGAACATTCCATGTCCACGCCAAAGGTCTGGTTTTGAATCATACCAGGGAAATCCAATGCCAAGAGGAAGTCAAGCCCAGCTTATCTGTGTTTTCTGCTGTGAAAAATACTTCGGCCAGCTGCAGTCCATTTTCCGGCCAGTTTGCCTTTAAAAAATATTATGAATCATTAAGAACAGTTTGATGCTGTTGAGAGGAGGTAAAATGTCTTTTTCATGTGAAATTAGACTGGCGGTACCTTATCAGTCAATTCAAGGTTCCTGGCTGCCTGCTCCAGCCATTTTGCAAGTATTTTCTGAAACAGAGATATTATTTTAAAACATAATTATTAATAGTTACTGAAATTTTAATTTTAAAAACTCTTAGATCTTTTTAAAAAGACCCATTTATTTACCTTAATAATATAATATTAAAAATCTATTTATAGTAGCACACAGGGAAAATTTAGGGCCTCACAAATGCTAGCTAAGCTCTAGATCTTTTTTTTTTTTTTTTTTTTTAGGTCCAGTCGTGGGCCTGAACTCTGGGCCTGGGTGCTGTCCCTCAGCTCTCCAGCTCAAGGCTAGCAGTCTACCACTTGAGCCACAGTGCCACTTCCGGCTTTTTTTTTTCTGCTTCTGTGATGCTGAGGAATCGAACCCAGGGCCTCATGCATGCAAGGCAAGAGCTCTACCACTGAGCCACCTTCCCAGCCCAGCTCTACATCTTTTAAAGGAAACACGAAAGGACTGAGTGAAGCCAGGCACTGGTGGCTCACGCGTGTCGTACTAGCTGTCAGGATGCTGAGAACTGAGGATTGAAGCTAGCCTGGGCAGGAAAGTCCATAAGACTCTTATCTCCAATAAACTACTCAGAAAGAGCCAGAAGGGGTGCTGTGCCTCAAATGGTAGAACGATAGCCTTGAGCAAAAGAAGCTCAGGGACAACACCTAGGCCCAGAGGACAAAAAAAAAAAAAAAAAAGGAAAGAGAAAAAGAACTAAATTATATTAGCATGATATCACCATCAATGAAGTAATATAAAAAAGAGGGCATGGGGGCTGGGAAGGTGGCTCAGTGGTAGAGTGCTTGCCTTGCATACTTGAGGCCTTGGGTTCGATTCCTCAGCACCACATAAGCAGAAAAAAAAATCCGGAAGTGGCGTTGTGGCTCAACTGGTAGAGCGCTAGCCTTGAGCTGAGAGACAGTGCCCAGGCCCAGAGTTCAGGCTCCACAACCGGACCCCCCCCCCCAAAAAAAAAGAGGGCATGGGTAATAACTCACCTGTCCTTCAGGCACCGTCCTTCTCACAAACGGAATCACATCATTTTTAAGCCATGGACAAAGTCTCTGCAGACAGACTGGTGTAGAAATTGAGTTGAGCAAATTCTCAAGGGTCTTCACATCAAACCTGCTTTCAAAGTTTGCCTAAATTTTACAAAATACAAAAATTAAGGCTTAACTAACCAATGTAATCCAACGGTCTCCCCAAAGACAAAGATGTGTTATATTCAGAGGTTGTCTTCTCTTAACAATGCTTGCAAAAGATGATTAACTCTACACAAACAAGTCGAGTTGGAGGCTATAATTCCATGAAATAGCTAATCATGAATAACAAATAATAAATTATATATCATGGGAACTGGCAGGTCTAAGGAAAATAAAACTGGGGGTGCTAACATATACATTAATCAGCAGTGTATACATCCATTAGCAGAATAATACCAAGATATTTTTTGGACCTAATGTTTTATGTCAGTATCAGCCAAGAGTAAGGGAAATCTGTATGAACAATTTTACTTACTTAGTATGTTTGTACAATTGTATGTACATATGTATGTATGTATGTATGTATGTATGTATGTATTTAAGAGACGAGATCTTAGCTGGGCATTGGTGGCTTATACCTGTAATCCTAGCTACTCAGGAGGCTGAGTTCTTTTTTTTTTTTGGGGTCCGGTCTGAACTCTGGGCCTGGGCGCTATCCCTCAGCTCTTCAGCTCAAGGCTAGCACTCTACCACTTGAGCCATAGCGCCATTTCCGGCTTTTTTTTCTTTTTGCTTATGAGGTACTGTGGAATCGAACCCAGGGCCTCAGGCATGCAAGGCAAGCGCTCTACCACTGAGCCACCTTCCCAGCCCCAGGAGGCTGAGTTCTAAGGATCATGGTTCAAAGCCAGCCTGGGCAGAAAAGTCCACGATATATATATATATATATATTTTTTTTTTTTTTGGGGGGGGGGTCTGGTCATGGGGCCTGAACTCTTGGCCTGGGTGCTATCCCTCAGCTCTTCAGCTCAAGGCTAGCGCTCTACCACTTGACCCACAGCGCCACTTCTGGCTTTTTTCTTATGTGATGCTGAGGAATCAAACCCAGGGCCTCATGTATGCAAGGCAAGTGCTCTACCACTGAGCCACCTTCCCAGCTCCCACAGGATACTCTTATCCCCAATTAGCCACTCAAAAATCAGTTGGGAATGTGGCTCAGTAGTAAAGTGCTTGTCTAGCATGCATGAAGCCCTGGGTTCAATTCCTCAGTACCACATAAACGGAAAAAGCCGGAAATGGTACTGTGGCTCAAGTGGTAGAATGCTAGCCTTGAGCAAAAGAAGCTTAGGGACAGTGCTTAGGCCCTGAGTTCAAGCCTTAGGACTAGCCACCCCCCCCAAAAAAAAATAAAGAATAAAGTACAAAGTTGAATTACCTGATGTCGAAGCCAAAGATACTGAGCACACATAATGTTTCCTTCTTTTAGCTGCAAAAAGATATCTTTAAGATCATCTTCATTATTCAGGAATTCGATCCAAGAACTACCGCTGCAGGGGAAATCAAAGGAAGGAAATAGTAAAACTATACATTCTAAGCTGGTCACTGGCTCATGCCTATAATACTAATTACTCAGGAGACTGAGATTTGAGGATTGTGATTCAAAGCAAGCCTGGGCAGGAAAATCCATGAAATTCTTATCTCCAATTAACTACCAGAAAACCAGAAGTAGTGCTCTGGCTAAAAGTGATAGAGTGCTACCCTTGAGCAGAGAGGGCTCAGGGACAGCGCCCAGACCTAACTTCAAGCCTTACAACTTACAAAAAAAGAAGAAATACTATACCTTCCAAGTGGGTATAATAATATATTTCAAATAGTTCTTTTTGTCATAACATAAAAACACAAAACAATATGATCAGTATGGTAGAACATGCTGTAATCTCAGCACTTGCGAACAAGCTGAAGTAGGAAAATTCTAAGTTTGTAGTCATCCTGGTTACAAAGTAAGTTAAAAACAACTGGGTGCCAGTGGCTCATGCCTGTAATCCTAGCTACTCAGGAGACAGTTCTCAGAATTAAGGTTTAAAATCTTTCCAAGCAGAAAAATGTGGAAGACTCTTATTTCCAATTAACCAGCCAGAAGCAGAGATGTGGTTCAAGCAGTAGAGCACCAGTCTTGAGTAGAAAAAGCTAAGCAAGAACATAAGTTCTAATAAAAAAATCACCTTTTGATTTTGTAAAAAAAAAAAAAAAAGAACATAAGACTTTGAATGCAAGACTCAGTACCAGAAATTTTATTCATAAATGATACCTCCAGCCCCTTTTTGTACTGGTTATATGGGAGGTAGGATCTAGCTTCTAGCTTAGTCATGAATCTGAGCTGGGATCTAGAAAGCTAGAATGACAGGCTCATATCACCACATCAAGATATTGGTAAAATGCCGGGTGCTGGCGGCTCACGCCTGTAATCCTAGCTACTCAGGAGACTGAGATCTGAGGATCTCGATTCAAAGCCAGCCCGGGCAGGAGAGACCGTGAGACTCCTATCTCCAATAAACCACCAGAAAACCGGAAGTGGTGCTGTAGCTCAAGTGGTAGAGCACTCGCCTTGAGCTGAAGAGCTGAGGGACAGCACCCAGGCCCAGAGTTCAGGCCCCACGACCAGACCCCGCATACAATACCTGAATTTGTCTGGACCAAATGCCCCATAAAAAGTAGTCAATTTTGCATGAGCCCTTAGCACCTATAACGACAAAAAAGAATTGGCAATCTAAATATTGTATGCAATAGTATTAAAAATTAAAATAAAACCCCAAATTGGAGTAATTCTATTTCATAAGTCTTTTTTTTTTTTTGGTCCAGTCGTGGGGCCTGAACTCTGGGCCTGGGCACTGTCCCTCAGCTCTTCAGCTCAAGGCTAGCACGCTACCACTTGAGCCACAGCGCCACTTCCAGCTTTTTTCTTATGTGGTGCTGAGCAATCGAACCCAGGGCCTCATGCATGCAAGGCAAGCGCTCTACCACTGAGCCACCTTCCTAGCCCTATTTCAGAAGTCTTATACACATGTTCATATAGATCAATTCCCATCAACACAACTACCTTTGACACACACACTGAGAATAATAGAATAATAAAATAGAATAATAAAAACATTCCATTCACATTAACTAGAAAGGGATAAATAATTAATTAAATACATCAATTAAAATCAATGTCCCCATGCACTACCAGTGCCCATCTGGGAAAAACGTAGCTGGATTGTACTTAACACTTACGTTGAGAATTTACATGCTCATATGCCTGCACTATGTATATACACCATCATAAATATCGCCAGTTTATATTTTCTCAAGTGCCTAATCAGGTATTAAGTACTATGCAAAGTGATTTATAGAAATTATCTTCTCTACCTCAAAACAACAGTGTAAGGTAAATATTAATAGCCCTATTCTGATAATACAGAAAGTGAAGTATTAAAATGGTAACTTACTTTGGAAGAAATATATACCTATGGCATCTTGCTCTTGAAGGATTATAAACCTATTTTGAAAGGAAAAACATTGGCATACCTTTATCCCCTGATTAATCTTTCAATCTAATGTTGTTACCTCTATCAAACCATCGGAATAGGCTGGAGCAGTCTTATCTTCTTTCTTCAAAAGCTAAGAATGCACAGTAAAAAAGAAAAACAATAAAAAAACACACAGAGAGAATATCTGCTGTTAGGCTTTTTTTTTTTGTCAGTTGTGGGGCCTGAACTCCGGGCCTGGGCGCTGTCTCCCAACTCTTCAGCTGTAGACCAGCGCTGAGACCAACCTGAGCCACAGCCCCACTTTCAGCTTTTTCTGATTATGTGGTGCTGAGGAATCGAACCCAGGGCCTCATGCATGAAAGGCAAGCGCTCTACCACTGAGCCATCTTCCCAGCCCCTATTAGGCTTTTTATATAAGAGGACAAGTTTCTGTGTACCATTGCTAGAAAACATTACCTTCTATAATAAACTGAATTTATGTTTGAAATGAACAAAATCTGAAAGATATATGCCATGATATAAAAAAGGAATCATGCTTTTATTTATTTTTATTTTATTTTATTTTTTTTGTCGGTCGTGGGGCTTGAACTCTGGGCCTGGGCGCTGTCCCTCAGCTCTTCAGCTCAAGGCGAGTGCTCTACCACTTGAGCTACAGCGCCACTTCCGGTTTTCTGGTGGTTTATTGGAGATAGGAGTCTCATGGTCTTTCCTGCCTGGGCTGGCTTTGAACCGCGATCCTCAGATCTCAGCCTCCTGAGTAGCTAGGATTACAGGCGTGAGCCACCAGCGCCCGGCAGAATCATGCTTTTAAAAACAAACAAACAACAAAAAAAAAAACAACCAGGGCTGGGAAGGTGCTCAGTGGTAAAGTGCTTGCCTCACATGCACAAGACCCTGGGTTCGATTCCTCAGCACCACATAAACAAAAAAAACCAGAAGTGGCTCTGTGGCTCAAGTGGTAGAGCACTAGCCTTGAGCTGAAGAGCTGAGGGACAGTGTCCAGGCCCAGAGTTCAGGACTATGAGGGGGGGAGGGGGGGAAGCATATATGAAAACTGGTCATCACAGCCTACTATGTCAATTCCTGATCTCAAGAAATATAACTACAAATTATACTCACAGGCAATTGAGGGGAACAACTCACCGTAACTGGCATTATTTACAACAGTAAACATTATGGGAAAGAGCTGGGCGCCAGTCTCACACCTATAATCCTAGCTACTCAGGAGACACACATTTAAGGATTACAGTTGGAAGCCAGCCTGGGCAGAAAAGTCCCCATGATGCTCTTATCTCCAATTAACCACCAGAAAACTGGAAGTGACACTGTGGCTTAAGTGGTAGAGAGCTTTCCTTGAGCAAAAGAGTTTAGGAACAGCGCTTGGTCCTGAGTTGAAGCTGGCTAGCAAGCATGACACCCTGAGTCCAAACCACTGCACTGTAAAAAGAAAACAAAATACAACAAAAAACACAAAAATAGAAAAACAAGCAAATAAGAAAAGAAAAATTTCAATGAGCTATATAAAAAAGAAAACTGGCCAGGTACCAGTGCTCAAGCCCTGTAATCTTAGCAACTCAGGATCTGTGAATCATGGTTTAAAGTCAACTTGGAAAGGAAAGTCCATGAGACATTCATCCCCAATTAGCCACCAAAAAGCTAGAAGCAGAGTTATATCTCAAATGGCAAAGCACTAGCCTTGAGGAAAAAAAAACCCAAGGGACCTTGCCCTAGTCCTGAGTTCAAGCTCCAGTACTGAGACAAACAAACAAAAAATAAATAAAATCAAAGTTAAAAAAAAAGTATTTGGTTTGGATAGTGGTAGAATGCTTGCCCAGCATGTATGAAGCTTTGGGTTCAATTCCTCAACATCACATAAACAGAAAAAGCCAGAAGTAGTGCTGTGGCTCAAGTGGTAGCGAGCTAGCCTTAAGCAAAAAACTCAGGGACAGTACCCAGGCCCTGATTTCAAGCCCCAAAACTGGCAAGGAAAAAATAAAAAGTATTTGAGGGTATTTGAGGTGAGAGAATTATGAGAAATAAAAGTAAATTTTTTTTCTAAAAAGAGAAGAAAGAAAACAAACCAACTCACCCTGGTTTTGGCATAATTAAGCATTTCCTGGGTTGTTTCGTAAGTTACCCACTGGGCCTTCAGGCAGTAATTGACCACAAATTCATCATCCTGTCTCACAAATGCAGACAGTGAGGCAACTTGATATGGACCAGCACATCGATCCTGAATACTTAATGGGTAGGAAACACACCTGGATTTTATGTAGATTTTCCTTGGCCTTATCCACAAGCTGCTGCCATTTGGTCTGCTCACTGGTATCCACAGAAATCAAAGCCAGTTTCTCCAATATATCATTGGATTTTACCTTGTAAACAAGCTGTAAAAGAAACATGACAAATCAAGTGACTTGAAGTAGGATAATGGCTGAGAATATCTTATTTTTGCAGCAATTTGTATAGGACAAGCTACTATGAACAAAAGGTGAATCCTCAGGTCATTCAGGAATAAGGCTTGGTTTGTTTTCTTTCTTCTCTTTTTAGAAAGTATCTGGAAGGTAATCTAGATGACTAGGAATCACAAAAACCATTTCTGAGTTCTTACTAGATGTGTCAAGCTGTGTACAAAGTTTTATATGAATTTTATTAAAAGAGCAAACTGTCCTGTCCATAAATGGATATACAAGGTATAGTATTAAATATATAATAGAATTCTAGTTAGCCTTTAAAAAGAAGAAATTTCTAGGGCTGGGAAGGTGGCTCAGTGGTAGAATGCTTGCCTTGCATGCATGAGGCCCTGGGTTTAATTCCTCAGCACCACATACACAGAAAAACCTGGAAGTGGCACTGTGGCTCAAATGGTAGAGCGCTAGCCTTGAGCTGAAGAGCTGAGGGACAGCACCCAGGCCCAGTGTTCAAGCTCCACGACCGGCAAAAAAAAAAAAAAAAGAAGAAGAAATTTCTAGCTGGGCATTGTGGTATGTACCGATAATTCCAGCACTCAGGAAGCTGAGATAGGAGGATCAGAGGTTCAAGACCATCCTGAGCTAAGGAGTAAGACCCTGCCTCAAAACAAGACATCAAAGGATTTTTTCTACTGTTTCTCCACTCATTCCCCTCATTTCTTTCATGGTTTTCCGACTTTTTGCTTCTTTCACTCTGCCTCACTCTTTTCTTTGAATTCTTATTCTGCTTCAGCCATGTCTTCATTACAAACCTGATCACACCAAATTTTCAACAGACCTACTTATGTTTCCTCAGCCTTTAGGACACCAAGAAATGCCTGTTTAGTAAGAAAGTGAGTGCATGAATGCTCACCTCAACATCCAGTCCAAACTGAATGGCAAAGCTCTCCGCTTCTGCAAATCGGTGCTTGTGCAGTAACCGACTCAATCTAACATGTTGGAAAAGAAATTTTGTCAAATGGTTGGTAATCAGGGAATATGAGATTTTCACCAAGGAGCAAGGCACAAAAAAAGTGTAATGTGCCAGGCGCCGGTGGCTCATGCCTATAATCCTAGCTTCTCAGGAGGCTGAGATCTGAGGATCGTGGTTCAAAGCCAGCCCGGGCAGGAAAGTCCGTGAGACTCTTATCTTCAATAAAACCACAGAAAACCAGAAGTGGCGCTGTGGCTCAAGTGGTAGAGTGCTCGCCTTCAGCTGAAGAGTTGAGGGATAGCACCCAAGCCCAGAGTTCAAGCCCCACGACCAACCAAAAAAAAAAAAAAAAATGTAATGTTACCTGTTTTCTGGTAAAGCTTCCGTAAGATACCTGACTACCAAGACACACACAGAATCTTCAGGCATGCTGGAAAAAGACAAAATTTTATGTGTCATTGTAAATGAGGTGATTTTGGTTGTTGTTAGTCATGGGGCTTGAACTCAGGGCCTGGGTACTGTTCCTGAGCTCTTTTCCTTAAGGTTAGCACTCTACCACTTACAGCCACTGCTCCTCTTCTGGATTCTGAGTGATTAATTGGAGATAGAGTCTCACAGGAACTTTTCTGCCCAGGAGAGCTTTGAATCTTATTCCTCAGATCTCAGACTCCCAAGTAGCTGGAACTACAGGTGTGAGCCACCCACTCGTGCCCGACTTAACAAATCAATCTTAACTTAATTCTTATTTACAACTTATCTGATTAAAACAAACAAAATAAAAGCATGACCTACTTTGGATCACTGTTGAATATTCCTTCCAGAAGGTATATAGTATCCTATAATAGTAACAAAATTATGACTAAAATTCAAATATAAAAGCAGTACATTCTATAACTACTAGAATAACAAATGGTTCACACAACAATTACTCATAAAGGGGGGGAGAACTGTTGAGAAAAAGGATTTTCTCATGGTCTTGAAGTAACACCATACAGATTACTTACTAGTTCAAAGGAGAAAATGTGTCTTTAGAAATGGAGAAACAGAAGAAAAAAAGGGGAATTATAGAACTGTAACCTCTCTGCACAACTACTTAATAGTAGAAAATAAATACACAGAGGTATACACATAAAATCAATCTGGGTAATCTAGTAAGTTCCAGTCATGCTTTGCTGACTCTTAAGCTTTTAAAAACAGTTTTATCCCTCTAAAACAATAATTTAACGAAAAAACATTTCTTATTAAAAAGTAGTTTAAAATAGTCATAAACTTACTGTGCTAATTCCTGTCTGAACCAAAGAGGAAACACTAGATACTTCCAAAGAATATAGTATTTCCATTGTAGGTAATGAATAAACCATCAGGTTTTTCATCTAAGAGAAACAAAAAAGCAATTAATTTAGTGTCACTATAAACCACAAGCATGGAACAGGAGTTCAAATTGAAATATTAAAACATTTGTTATAATACTAAATACAGGGGGGAGAGAGGAGTTGGGGATGTGGGGAGGGAAGGGATGGTGGGGGAAAAGCAAAGGAGGAAGTAACAATGCTGGATAGGAAATGTACTCATTAGTTTGTTCATGTAACTGTAACCCCTCTGTACAGTATCTTTACAGTAAAAAAATATACAAAAAACACTAAATGCAAAAAAACCCTTTACAAATAAATATTCTTGTTACTGTTATTTAAATGTTACATATAAAGTCATTTTATTCTACCTTCTATATCTGTCCAATGAAAATTCATGTGCCTAAGTTAACTGTTTGTATTGAGGTGATCATAATTCCTGTCCAGAAATTTTAAAAATCACTATAATTAACACTTCTTCCCCATTCTCTAATGCTGGGGATTGAACCTAGGACAAATGTACTACCACTGAGCTATATCATAAGCCCTTGGTCTTTTGAGACAAAGTATCTCGCTATAGCCCACACTGGCCTTGAACTCTTTTATCTAACCTCTACAGACCTCAAACTCATGATCCCCCTGCCTATACTACTGCAGAACTGGGATGATAGACATGTACCATGGCAACTGGCTCTAACAAGCACTTTTAAAAAGAAATACATTTATACTAAATATATAAAATGCTGTTTAAAATGTGGAACCACATTTCGTATTCATTCTTTTAAAATGGAATGGAAAGCTGGGCTACGATAGCTCACCCCTGTAATCTTAGCTACTCAGGAGACTGAGATCTGAGGATCGTGGTTCAAAACCAGCCTGGGCAAGAAAGTCCGTGAGACTCCTATCTCCAATAAACCATTCAGAAAACCGGAAGTGGCTCTGTGGCTCAGGTGGTAGAGCGGTAGCCTTGAGCTGAAGGGCTCAGGGACAGTACCCCGTCCCAGAGTTCCAGCCCCACAACTGACAAAAAAAAAAAAAGGAATAGAGTTCTGCAGTATTAATTCCAATTTGTTAAGTGTCTGTGTGAACTAATAGCTAATGTGCTATGAATACTACTTAGATTCAATTTCTATCTCATTAAATGCTATTTCTAATACATGATGATATGGAGAGGCAGAAGCAAAAATTTCCAATACCTTCTTATTAGTTGTAGTCGTCAGGGCTACTAATTTCAGGTTTGTAATTCCTTGCCTAAAAGAGAAAAGAAACTACAAGTAAATCAAACAAACTTGCAACCAAATAAAAGCTAAGTGAAAGAGATATAATTCCTGTTTAAGTTTTAAGATAGATTCAAAAAATACCTTTTTTTATCTTTTGGTGGTACTAGGGTTTAAATTCAGGACCTAGCATTTGTTAGGTAGATGCCGTACCTTAAACTATGCCGCGATCCATTTTTGCTTTAGTTATTTTTCAGATAATGTCTCACTTTTGCCTAAGGTCAGCTTTAGACTAAAATCCTCCTACCTATGCCTCCTGAGTAGTTAGGATTACAGATGTGAATTGCCATACTCAACTTATTCTCTGAGATAGTCTCAAAACTGGCCTCAAACCACAATTCTTTTTTCACAGCTCAAAGACATGGGATTACAGGCATAAGAGCCACCACATCAAGCCCAAATCACTAGATTCTATTTGTCCATGTTCACAGCCAAAACTGATACTCTGTTTTAACACAATGGAGGATCATACTGACTATTTGTTTCCAATGGAAACAAGCAAACAATGAGTCTGTCCTAATTCTGTTAGACTGTTTCAGTGTATATAATAAATGATCTAAACAAAACAGACAAGAACACTGATGCTAAAAGACAAGGAAATTATTTTGGGCCAAAGTTATAACCTACCAGGCAACTGAGGAAGGAGAATCTGCTTCAGTGGTAAGGAGAAATTCCTCTACACAAATGGAGGGCCAATTCCATATGAGTGTGAGAGTATAAACGTCCCATAAACTCAGCACATTCTGCAAAAGAAACATCTCACCTATGTCTTAAAGATCATGAATTTATTATTATAATTTTTTGTCAGTTGTGGGACTTGAACTCTGGGCCTGGGTACTGTCCCTTAGCTCTTCAGCTCAAGGCTAGCACTCTACCATTTGAGCCACAGTGCCATTTCCTGCTTTTTCTGCTTATGTGATGCTGAGGAATCAAACCCAGGGCTTCCTGCATGCAAGGTAAGCACTCTACCACTGAGCCACCTTCCCAGCCCAAGATCATGAATTTGTATCTAATAACACAATGAAAGAGCATAGTACACAAAATGGTGACCCACTCAGCTAACATCCTTATCTCTAACATCCATCTCTGTAAGTTTTATAACATTTGTATGTGTGTCCTAGTACTAGAGTTTTACCTCAGGGCCTAGGTGCTGTCCTATAGCTCTATTTTCCAAAGCTGATGCTCTATCACTACCACTTGAGATAAAAGTCTCACAATGGGCTGGGAAAGTGGCTCAGTGGTAAAGTGCTTGCCTTGCATGCATGAGGCCCTGGGTTCAATTCCTCAGCACCACATAAGCAGAAAAAGAGCTGTGGCTCAAGTGGTAGAGCACTAGCCTTGAGCTGAAGAGCTGAGGGACAGTGCCCAGGCCCAGAGTTCAGGCTCCACAACCAAAAAGAAAAAAAAAAGTCTCACAAACTTCTGCCTAGCCTGGCTTTAACTGCAATCCTCAGATCTCAGTCTCCTGAGTAAGTAAAGATTACAGGTGTGAGCCACTAGTGCCCTGCAATATTTTTATTAATAAATATATGACCAGGGTGAGGATGTTTCTCAGTGGCAGAGTGCTTAAGTAGCATGTATGAAGCTCTAAGTTCCATCTCTGGCATCACATACACACACACATACACACAAAAAAAATTCAAAGAGAAACATTAATATACATCAGTGTCCAGCACAAAAAGTAGGTTGTCAATCAGCTGGAACTTCTTTGCTCCTGTAACAGAAAATAAGAAGTCAAAGAATTTTATGATAGTATTATATACAATCATATTTAAATTGCAGACTAAAATATTTACAGAAAGACAAAACTATATTTTATTTAAAAACTTCCATTTTCACCTATTCCTACCTCTTTCAAATTTTTTCTTTTTTTTTTTAAGGTGACCAGTAAAATGTAAAAACTCCCCAAAAGAGGAGTAATAATCATATTATGTCACAAAAGGTAAAATGTGGTCAATTTTCAAACAAATCTAGTTTGTTTCAAAGAGTGATACAATAAAATTAACCCACTGCCAGATAATGGGTTCAAGCCCCAGCACTGACATTGAATGAAATAAATAATCCATATGCTAGCCCAAGTTCATGAACATGCAAATTACAACCCCCATAATAATTACAAAAAAGTAGTTTTGTTGGCTTATTTTTACCATTAATAATCTCTGTATCAATTAGGTTCTTAACCGTCATTTCTTTTTTAGTAGAATCTGGTTCCCATTTTGAAAGTGCATAATTACCAGTTCCCTAGAAAAATGAAAATGGTATGGCAATTACAAACTTGGATCTAAAACCTGAATCTTCCTTAGACTAAAATGTAGTTAGGTGCTGTTGGCTCACACCTGTAATCCTAGCTGAGGCTGAGATCTGAGCATCACGGTTCAAAGCCAGCTCGGGCAGGAAAGTCCATGAGACTCTTATCTACAATAAACCACTAGAAAACCAGAAGTGCTGCTGTGACTCAAGTGGTAGAGTGCTTGTCTTGAGCTGAAAAGTGCAGGGACATTGCCCGGCCCAGAGTTCAAGCCCCACGACAATTAAAAAAAAAAAAAAAAAAAACAACCTAAAATGTAAGCTGTATATATTATTGTCAAAATATGTTTCCATATTCAATCTCAATCTCAAAACAGTACTTCTCCCTTAGTAGTAGGAATTGGACCCTGGGCTTCGGGCATGTACTCTTAACTACTGAGTATTATCTCCAGCCCTTTTTTATTTTATTCTGAGGCAGGGTCTCCCTAACTCTGCCCGGGCTATCTTGAAACTCTTGCTCCTCATGCCTCAGCCTCCTGAGTAGCTGGTGTTACAGACATTTCCCATCCTGTCAGGCTTGAGCCAGCTGTTATCTTCCAGTTGCTATTTCTGCTCAGAATGGAAAGAATAGTAAACTATATGGTTCCTGGTCATCACATGAATACTTAATGAAGAGTAGGCATGTTCAGGAAACTCAGCCTAAAAACATGAACTTGAAGATCTCTTCCAGAAGCAAATGTAAATTTGTTTTTTTTTTTAATGCTCTGGTAAAGCTAGGTTGCAGTGGCTTATGTCTACAATCCTAGCTAAGGTAGTTGAGATATTAGGGTTGTGGATGAAAGCCATTTCAGGCAGAAAAGTCTGCAAGACTTCATCTGCAATTATCCAGCAAAATGCAGGACTGGATGCATGGTTCAAGTAGTAGAGTGCCAATCATGAGTACTAAAATTGCCTTGAGATTTTTAAGCCCCAGCACTGGCATAAATAAAGTAAAATAATTTTGTCAAAATAACCACAAATAAGCTGGCCACTGGTGGCTCACACCTGTAATTCTCACTACTCAGGAGGCTGAGATCTGAGGATCAAAGTTTGAAGCCAGCTCAGGCAGAAAAGGTTCCATGAGAGTCTTATTTCCAAGTAACCACTCAAAAACCAGAAGTGGCACTGTGGCTCAAGTAGTAGAGACCACTAGCCTTGAGCACAGAGAGACTCAGGAAGCAACCAGGCCCTGAGTTCAAGCCCTCAACTCACAAAAAAAATAAAATAAAATTTCATAGAGATAATTACCCCAATTATCACAGGAGTTTCACTTGTCAAATCACCAGCCACAAGATTGAGACAACCAAGACTGTGATAATTTTCAGTAGAAATAAAACTGGATTTGATCTGTCCTTGTAACTGTAAAAACAACCAGAATGTTTTACACAGATTTAAGTCCCACAAAAATCAGTTCAACTCAATTAGACATAATTGTGTTTTTAAACAGAGATGTTATTAAAATGGCATATGAACACCTATAATATCAGCCAGTAGAGTAACGGTACACAGAAGCTACATTTTTTACTACTAAATGTAAGTTTAAAGAGAACAAGATAGCTTTGGTTTCTTACCTTTTTGGCTATTTCTAGGTCTACATTCTCAATTGCTGCATGAAAATAAAAGAAAGGAAACTAAATGAATTTAGGTTTATATAGACTAAAAAAAATAATACAAGTCATCCCCTTTGTGTTCAAATTGAATGAATGCGTGCTTGTTCAAAGAGGAGGTCAGAATTAGTGTTGGCTCTTTGGCTTGGCCCTTGACAGCCACACCTCACGGTGCCTCACTGTATGTACATATGCCATGTTTCTTCCTACCAAGAGGGTCAAGCATGAAGTCCTACTTACCAAGTATCCTCCACTTGTGGTTATAGAACAACCCTTTCTCCTGTCTTCCTTCTTAATCCATCTTCAGAAAATTAATGCAGCTTAAATCTTTTTTTTGTCAGTAGTGGAGCCTCAACTCTGAGCCTGGGCGCTGTCCCTTAGCTCTTCAACTCAAGCAAGGCCCTCTACCACTTGAGCCACAGCACCACTTCCAGTTTTTTCTGCCTATGTGGTGCTGAGGAATCAAACTTAGGGCCTCATGCATGCAAGGCAAGCGCTCTACCACTGAGCCACCTTCCCAGCCCCTGCATCTTAAATCATGTCATATACCCTGGACCCATCAAAGGTCTTGCATACATTTTGAAAAAGCTTGTTTCGAACTGCCAGTGGTTCATGACTGTAATGGTAATTACTCAGGAGGCTGAGATTGTGGTTCAAAGCCAGTCCTCATAGGAAAGTCCATGAGACTCTTATCTCCAGTTAACCACCAAAAAGCCAGAAGTAGAGCTTTGGCAAAAGTGGCAGAGCTAAGGGGAGCACCCAGGACCTGAATTCCTAGGATCCTCATACACATACACAAAAAAAGAATATTCAGCCGGGCGCTGGTGGCTCACGCCTGTAATCCTAGCTACTCAGGAGGCTGAGATCTGAGGATCGCAGTTCAAAGCCAGCCTGGGCAGGAGAGACCGTGAGACTCCTATCTCCAATAAACCACCAGAAAAACAGAAGTGGCGCTGTAGCTCAAGTGGTAGAGCACTCGCCTTGAGCTGAAGAGCTGAGGGACAGCGCCCAGGCCCAGAGTTCAAGCCCCACGACGGACAAAAAAAAAAAAAAAAAAGAATATTCAGTACCTAGAGTATAATTAAATCAAAATATTCATTGAATATTTCAAAATTTACCTAGAAAATGAATAATACTGTAAATTAATGAGAAAATACTAATACTTTTTTGTTGTTGTTGTTGGTTGTGGGGCTTGAACTCTAGGCTTGGGCACTGTCCCTCAGTCAGCTCAAGGTGAGCATGCTACCATTTGAGCTGCAAAGCTACTTCCGGTTTTCTAGTGGTTTATTGGAGATAAGAGTCTCATGGACTTTCCTGCCTGGGCTGGTTTCTGCCTGGGCTGGCTTGGAACCGTGATCCTCAGATCTCAGCCTTCTGAGTAGCTAGGATTACAGGCATGAGCCACCACGCCCAGCTATAAATACTATTATAAATACTATTATTATATACTATTACTTACCTTGTTGGATTTTTTCAAGCTGAATATTTGTAATATAAAAAAATCCATTGTTTGTAAGAAGCAGCATGTAATAGGAACCTATTAAAATAAAATCAAAATTATTTTCTCCAAAAGGTGTATAGATATAAAGTGGAAACAAATTATCTGTAGCTTAAACATTTTTCATTTTCATTTCTATGGCAGTACTAGGGTTTTAACACAGGGCTTTTCACTTGCTAGGCAAGTACTCTACCACTTGAGCCAAACCTCTAGCACTTTTTGCTTTTACACTGTTTTCAGATAGGGCCTGGGCCACTCTTAGACCCTATCCTCCTACCTATGCCTCCCACTAACTAGAATCATAGACATTTACCACCAGGACTATCTTGTTTGTTGGGATGGGATCTGGCTAACTTTTCACCCTGGCCGACTTCAAACCATGCTTCTGATCTGTGTCTCCTGAGTAGTTAGAATTACATGTATGAGACAGTTTCTTTCTTTTTTCTTTTTTGTGCTTAATTGTAGATTAGAATTTCACAGACTTTCCTGTCTGGGCTGGCTTTGAATCATGATCCTCAGATCAGCCTCCTGAGTAGCTAGGGTAAGTGTGAGCCACAGGTGCTTTGCCCAACTCTGATTTTTGTTAAAACTCAAGAACTGCAGCCAAGTCTTGAGTTCAAGCCCCAGAAATGGCATATAAAAAAAAAATTTGAGATCTGTAATCCTAGCTACTCAGGAAGCTGAGATCTGAGGATCACAGTTCAAAGCCAGCCTAGGCAGTAAAGTCTGTGAAACTTATCTCAAACAAACCACCAGAAAACCAGAAGTGGCACTGTGACTCAAGTGGCAGAGCAGTAGCCCTGAGCTGAAGAGCTGAGGGACAGTGCCCAGACCCAGAGTTCAAGCCTCACGACAGACAAAAAAAAAGTTTGAGGCCAGTCTGAGCTATATAGCAAGACATTGTCTCAAACTCTTTCTCTCTAAAGAAGTTTCTTCTAGGGGCTAGGAAGGTGGCTCAGTGGTAGAGCACCTGCCTTGCATGCTAGAGGCCCTGGGTTCGATTCCTCAGCACCACATAAGTAAAAAGAAAAAAGCCAGAAGTGGCGCTGTGGCTTAAAGGGGTAGAGTGCTAGCGTTGAGCTGAAGAGCTGAGGGACAGTGCCCAGGCCCAGAGTTCAGGCCCCATGACCGGACCCAAAAAAAAAAAAAAAAAAAAGAAGTTTCTTCTATTAACTGTATGATACCATGTGCTGGTGGCTCACTCCTGTAATACTATCAACACAGGAGGCTGAGACTGAGAATCTCACTTTGAAACTAGCCTAAGCAGACAAATCTGCTATATTTAATTATTTATTTATTTTTGCCAGTCCTGGGGCTTGAACTCAAGGGCCTGGGCACTGTCCCTGAGCTTCTTTTGTTCAAAGCTAGCACTCTACCACTTGAACCATAGCACCACTTCTGGCTTTTTCTGTTTATGTGATGCTGAGGAATGGAACCCAGCCCAATCTGCTACATTTCTATCTCCAAATAGCCAGCAAAAAAAAAACAAAAAAAAAACAAAAAAAACAAAAGCAGAAGTGTGGCTCAAGTGGTACAGTACTAGCTTTGAGTGAAAAGCCAAGTTAAGAACATAAGCCTCCTGAGTAGTTAAGGTAACAGGGATGAGTCTGGCATAAATATAAATTTTTGATTGTATTTTCATCAGAAGCCATTCCAAAAATAGTTAAGAAGGGCACTGATGTTTCACGCCTGTAATCCTAGCTACTCAGGAGGCTGAGATCTGAGGATCAAGGTTCAAAGCCAGGGGCTAGGAAGGTGGCTCAGTGGTAGAGCGCTTGCCTTGCATGCATGAGACCCTGGGTTCGATTCCTCAGCACCACA